CATTTCTATACTTTTCTATCTTTATTGTTTCGTTATATAATATTATTATAAAGTAAACAAATCAAAGATTTTCTTTGGATTAACCATTTTGTTTGATATGGTGTTAAAAGAGAAACTAATTGTGTGTACACAAAAAATAGACGCTCAAAGGTTGCGTTTGCGACAGAGTCTAACTAGGCTTACAATTAATATTAATAATTTTCCAACTTGTTTTAAACGTATTAGTTAATAGGTACCATTGTTATCAATTATCTAGTTGACAAAAATAACAAATAATGTTTTTTTAAAAGTCAAACCACTTCAAATGGCGCTCTTCGAAGGTTATGCTTATGACAAATGTTTGTTTTAATAGTGATGTGACAACATAAGGATGTTATCGAATATTTTTGCAATTTTAATGTTATTATATATTTTTTTACAATCATGTTGGCAAATATGTATTGAATTGAATATACAGGGTGACTGGTGAATTACTATCGATACTTGAGGACGTGATATTTGACGATCATATATGACAAAATAAAAATTAATATAACATAAATATTAATACACTTCTAAGTAAAATTAACCAAAAGTTATGTAATTAATTACGCATCGTGTGAACACCCTACAGATTAGGTATACACACACACACACATACACGTGTGGCGGCGTAGTGTTGTATCAGCACGCCGCCGCACGCGTCCACACTTGGAACACTTGGAACGTGGCCACACTTTATTTATTTATACGGAAATTTGGTCAAAAATTAAGTACCTATTCTTTTTACATAATTCGAATGAGAATCATGTACCGAGTATTCTCCTTAAATATTGATAGTAATTCACCAGTCACCCTGTATAAGTATAATAAATGCATGAAATAAATTTAGTATATATCATTAATGTTATTTAATTTTGCATTTCAAGTTAAGTCGAATTGTTAGGTGTCCAAAATGGAATTCTATGGGGCCGGATCATATAATATAATATTATAGATAAATTAAACAACGATCAGCGACATCTATCGTCTGTAACATGACTTCATACTGCATATGACGGTTATGCCGTCTTTCCGCTAAAACTTCAAGGGATTAATACACAAATTAAAGCCTACTTATTGTTATTTAGTCTAAGCTATATTGGGAAATTGCATTGTAATTTGTTCAGTATATTTAACGTAAAACATCAACACACATCTATATAACTTTACAAAATAAAGCATTTAGAATATTAGTAGGATATTCGATTGATATCAATGACTTTAAGATTTTTTATGCTATGTATTTTTATAACGCATATGTTAGATACTAATCAAATTTAACACTGCAAGGATAATGTTAACGTATTTGACAATAAACGTCAATCGCCTTACAACCATAATAATCGATTCAACGTACAGAGTTTTACTACTGCACATAATTTTCTGAAATTTAGGTTAATTTTTACTTTTAAGTAAACTTCAGTATTAGAAAATTTTATATCTATAATAAGTATAACTTTACAGTGGTTGGCAACATTTCGATCGCGATAGCAACACTTACCGCTGGCTGGCTAACAATGTGTTGATGACTAATAAAATTGAATCAATTAGGAAGTTCCAATTGTTTCAGTAGCTTCTTGGATTCATGCCAGGTTGACCACACCTGAGTAATTATGTATTGTAAATATTTAATTATTTACACATGTTGCTGTTAAGAACACGAGTTTGTATTCTGATACAGTTGTTTATTATAGTATTGTAGTTGTTACGGCCGCGATACATTTACTTTCGTTTGAAGTGTCAATAAAAATTACTAAGAAAGCCTGTTGAGCCAATAAACAAGCTAAAATGATTCACGCTGCATTGATCTTAATGTTCATATTGCTTTACCAGCAGTCCACGTGTAATCAGAACGTGTAAATGTCGCGGTGCTGGCCGTTAGATTCGTAATGAGTATAAATGTTTTATTATTATTACTTACAATCATTTTATTTAATAAGAGACATACATACTGTACGTTTCCATTAATGTGTAATATAATTATTTATATGTATTAATCATAAGAAGTAAAAGCACTCGTATTGTATGGTGAAACAACCAGAAATGTATAATATGTATAATTTTAAAGTATGTATGTAAGTTTTCGTTATCGTTCCCTTGTAGTCCGGGTCGAAACAACTATGCTTAGTGCTTACCACGAGTTTCATTGTCACAGTACATACGAAGCGTTTCCAGGTTTTTAGTCATAAATCATCGCACTTCATACCGTTAATTTGGGTATTGCAGTTTTCATTGTAGTGGTAGGAAGATGTAAAATTTAGCAAAAAACGCTTATAGTTACGTGTCACAGTTGCTTATTACAAATTTATTTATTGGTTTTGTTTTCATCTCATGGCACTTGCAGAGATTAAATGGTTAATACCTAGAAGAGATTTAAACTCTCGTACCAAGGATACAAATAACAGTTAGTGAACGGTTTGGTTTTCAGTTTCTACGTTTATATACCATAAAAAATCTTATACAATAGCCGTGCACGTTAGGTACGCATTAAATTCAATAATAAATCTTATAATACTCCTCCATTAGATCTAAAATCACATAAATTTATAATTATATATACGTAAATTATATTTATTGCTAATAAATCGTAGTCTATGCTTGCTTATCTTAGGTTTATAATGAAGGTCAGTCATGAGCTATACTCTACTATACCTACTATAATAATATAGTGTAGTAGCAATTACAGCAAAAAATTTTTATTCCAATTAATAGCTTAGAATTGAATTACAACTTTATAATTAATTAGAAAGCGTGAAAAATATCACTACAATTTAATGTAGCTATGGAAAACTTAACAGTTTTGTATATATAAAATTTATTTAATTTCGAAAAACTTGAATAAGTAATTGAAGTAATAATTGAATATTTCAAGTAATTTAATTTTTTTTGAAATCTTATATTTATTTCTATTCATAAATAAATATAGATTTGACTCATTTCATCGATATATACCTACTAAAATAACACCGTAACCATAGAAAAATATGAAAAATTGTGTTAGAATGTATTTAATGTGCTTTTTCAAGTATCAAGATATGTATACTTATTAGATATGATTCTCAAAATAACGTAGTATCCCATTTAGATGAGATTTTGAATTTAATTTAGGAGCGAATTTAACAGTGACGTTGGCTTTGAATTTATAATTAAGCTTATGATGTTTGGCACCTCGCTCCTCTTGAAAATCTCCCCGTGAATTTGGTGTTGAGAAATAAGATTTTACTATTACGATAATAAAATGACGAGTAATGGTGAAGATACTGTATTGGAAGGAAATAAACAAACAAACATTTGTTTTTTAAATAGATATATAATATATAACTAGAGTCGTCTATAAAAATAATAATAATTAACCAACCTTTTTTATTCCATTCGACAAACTCTTTCGTATTTTATCCGCTCAGTACTCAAGAGTCAAGAGTATAAATCGTCCAAGAAATAATAACGTTGACATTGGCAAATTTTTTTACTATTCTAGTGCGAATGAAGCAATAGTTTATAAAAAAAAGAAATATAAATAAAAAAGATAATGAGATCTAAGATTTTCGCGAGTACTTATTTAAAATTTACATGAGACTTATATTTTCGGATTTACTAAGCGATACTTCGCGATTCGAATAATAAATCCCAAAATATTAGTTTCATTTTAATAAAAAGAATGTCATATTTACAAAATAATATACTTTTTATGGGTAAACCTTATCTTTTCTTAATTCGACTGGATAGTGCTTCTTAATATTCTACCTAATGGTATATGGAAATGAAGTTATAGGTGGTGAACGAACTATCTCAATAATAAACAGTATATTTACTCTTGCTTTAATAATGATTACTTAATGAATGAAAACATTCTTCATTTTAAATAATTATAAATACTTATATCGAATATATAATAATATCATATCAAAAAATATTTAATTGCGATAAACTGTTGTTATATATATATATGTAGTTATTATTTTTGAAGAAATTTTATAAAAGATATAATATCTCGTATAATTATCGTATTCAGGTTATGTATTAAGACCTCTATATATCAGTAAATGATCTTGGAAAGAATCACTTCAAGCTAGTGTACTTATACGATAACAATTCAGCGATAAATCAGATTTCTATATAATGATTATTTTTAAATCATTTTTCTTTATACTAAAATAATTGGACTGTGTTATGTATTATGTAATTAGTGATAAATAGTAAGAGATTATGAAATTCTTTTTGTCCGTTTTATTAAATCTAAACATAGAAAAACGATAAACATTTTATTATCAAATATATGTTACTTAGCCTTAATAGCTTTAATGAAACCTATTCTTGTACCATACTTAAGAAAAAACCTGTGTCTTTAATGTCTTGCTTTATAATTCTCACACTTATATTCTACTAGCTTCCCGCACGCTGCTTCGCCCGCCTGGAGTTCGGTTATATCGCGTTTCCAAGAGAACCTTTCAAAAGTCTGGTATAAAAACTATCCTATGTTCTTTCTCAAGGCCAACTCTATGTCTGTACCAAATTTCATTGAAATCAGTTCAGTGGTTTAGGCGTGAAAGCGTAACAGACAGTCACACAGACAGAGTTACTTTCGCATTTATAATATTAGTGGGGATTATAAATTCTTTCCTAGTTTACTTTTAGCTGATTTGACATTGTACTTATGAGTCATGCTTTTCGTCTTTACCTGCGTACGGTCGCTATTATTTTTATCGTTTTACCTGATAGAGACATTTAATAGTTTCGCATATTCTTTAATATAAGGCATCCTTTGTGTCTTTATGCTTGATTATTTACCTTTGTTAGTGAGCGCGATGACCTATTTATTTATAACTATCTACTATAGTGCCTGTTATAATCTTTAAAAGGGTTATATAATATATAAAAATAATATTTTATAACATAGAAAAATGTATTTTTAGTTTGCCAAATTAGATACGGATTTGCGAAGTAATACGATGGCCTGACTTTCTCCAGTCCTGGTTAAAATGAAAAAAATATGGGGTAAGTATATGGTTCATTAAACTGCCCTAAAGATATTACAGTTTATTAGGAAAAAGCGTTTAATAAAGTTTTATTGAGGTCAGTGTTTAATATCTTATTTCTACGTCTTTTTTTATTTATAAAATTGAGTTATTTTAGCATTACATATTTTAAAAATTCGTTATCTCAGTCTAAAAAATTGAATTGAAAAAAATATATGTTAGATTAAAATTAATCATTAACATTTTCAAGCTATGGCTCGCTTCCTGGTGTATATATGTATTGCATATAAAACATTAATAAAATTACAATAATTCTTATCTGTGTCAGGTCTTTGTGTATGTCGGTACTCGGTAGCGATAAAGTGTAGAATACATTGTGAGTCTATTCAGTCATTATTTGTAACGATAAGTTATATAAAAATATAAGTAGTGACATGTTTAAATTTGCACAGTTTATATAATGACATCATACATTTGTTAATTTAAAATTCATTTTGTTGAATTATTTTAGTCCCAGCTTCAGTAAGATCCGGCTTAATACTGCAGTTTATTTAGTATTTATACAAGTTTAATGTCCTTATTATTTGTTTAAATACAAGATATTGTCCGCGATTTCGTCTGTTTTTAAATATATTGAAAGTTTTAATGTTTTATTTGAACACATAAACAGAAAACTATTTTGAGAACGTTTTAAATTATAGACATTATAATTTGATATCGATTTTAATATATGAAGGTTATAGGTATACAACAATATTACGAATGGGACAAGAGATGTATATGAAACCAAAATCTCTTCACCAAACGTCTTTTCTTCGGTATTGATAGTCTCGTTTTTAGTTAGGAAAAAACAAAATAACTTTATTCCATTGTTTTCAAAATAACCTAAAAATTCTCCGACGTATTTGATCGTAACACTAAATTGTTTGAAACTAAAAAATGTTGTTTATATTACATTTATGAAAATAAAAGCAAATTAATTCCAGAGACTATATTCTTAACCGTAAAAAAACGTTCTTTTTTCTACTTTATATTTGGGTGCAACGTAACCTTGTGCTAAACGCGGAGCTAATGCCATCTTTTGTTATACTGAGAAGTTTCTAAACGAAGCTGCTTGATACTTGGTGAAGGAATGTCACTTATTGATTTTTACTACGGAATGCTACTAGATGGCGCTACTTATATGAAAAAATGTAATGTCGAAACCTATGAATACTAACTACCATATTACCTATAGATCGATCTAACGAACTTTGAAAAAATCACATTTTAATTATAGTCTCAATCGGTTCTCAATTTCGAAATATGACACATATATTTACCCACATTTATAAACACACGTCATGTAAGGATCAACAAACACACTGATAAATTTGATAAGCGCTCCTGTATAATTTACTGCTTTTACTTAAATCGGTACTTATCAATACAAGTGGGGCTACGACGGTCGCGAGGAAATATTGAAACATCGGAAATTTTAAAATGATTGTTTACCCACATTTTCGTGTTATAATGCATGTGTTACTTCGATGTGTCCATGATAAATGTGTCTTAAGTGTTTGAAGTGTTGGTTATGTAGATGTGATTATTTGTGAAATGTCTTTACTTGGCGGAGCTGGTTCTTCGTCTTTAACTACTACTGAACGACGGCCGTTGGTGCTACCATTCAAAGTACCCAGGAGTTATGGAAGCGTGTTCCCGTATTACAGATTTATGAGGGACGCACTCGCTGAATCAAATCAAAATGAGGTTACTAATACTTATTAATTAATAAATAATCATATTATGAGACTTATTAAGATTTGTATTATATTTAATATGAAGTGAAAATAATAGCAGGAAATGCACAGTGGTTGTCCTATATTGTCGGTTTAACGATATGAAGTTCTTAAAGTAAAATTATCTAAGAGTTTCCAAAGATTAAATGATAGTTTTTGTTATGTTTCAATTTGAATTATAATATTTATTATATTTTTATCTTCCCTTTTATATTGTAAACTCTCCGTTCCATTTCTTCGCATCACAGCGTAAATATTTACTGTGACATAAATAGATTATTCCACATGGTTAAAATATAAGTAACAATGACCTTTTTAATTTTATATTATCAAGTTAAGAATGTGACGTAATAATTTTTTATCTAGTTAAGAATCTGTTTTAACAGTTTGGTAAAATAATCTTTTATTTTTTTAAATAGTCAAATTTGTGATATCTCAAAACATTAACCGTAACTAGTATTAAATTAATACTAATGAATTAGATGAGAAAATGTTAAACCATTCCTAACTTTACGTGCTCGGAAGTGTACTTACACATAACTTCTTACCTTATTTTTATTTATCCGAGCAATATTTATGAAGATTCATTCTAAGAAATCATTTTGTCTCAAATATGTTTTAAGAAGTTCACAGAAAGTCTCTAGTATTGTATGAGATTAATTTATTAAAAACTCTTAACAGTCGAGGAACTATAATATTTGTATTAAATTAAAGACGGAAGTTATTAAGTACGTTCTAGTATCTCTTTTAATTAAGATAAGTTTCTTTAGATTTTATCTTTTTAAGCATCACTATCGGTTTATCAAATAGATTTCGATTTTTTTGCTCTTATGTACTTTTTTCGTATATATTTTTTATTGTTTGAAGATAAATTAATATGAAAATAAAACTCTTTAAAAAGTATTCTCTTTGTCTGTCTCTATGTATGACTGTTTTTTCGTCTAATTGCTAAAAGGGGTGGAATGATTTTGACGATAAATTCAATCGCAGCCAACTATGTCGTAACGAGTGGTAGGCTATTTTTTTGTACGAATTTAGTTTGATGAAATAAGTTTCCAATTAGACGATGTTTTAAAATCTGAAGCAATTACTCCTTCAATTGAAGGTAGATTTTTGAAATTATTTTGTTATCGAAAGCGTTTGTCCGGAGAAAGTTCCATTATCTCAATGTTAGGATTTAATGAAGGGATCCTCGAGAAATCAAATAAAACTTTATAAGTAGAATGGCGCGCATCACAAAGGAACGTTTAATTTGCGGAGAAAGCCTCAAGCAATATCTTATATTTAATATATTAAAAAATAAATGTTCTGTTTTCATTTATAGTTAAATAGTCCAAAACTACTTAGTTCATTAACTACTAGGGATTTTAACCTAAAGTAGCTTTATATCGTCATCGTCATTAGCCTATGAGAGCCCACTGCTGAGCAAAAGCCTCTTTCTCATGAATTGTGATTTCAAACTTATAATTGGGAAATTATAAGTCCAGGTTTCCTCACGATATTTTCCTTCACCGTCTGTCAGTGGTGTATCAATACTGTTAGAAAGTATATATAACTCGAAAAATCACATTGGTACTTACCAAGATGGAACCTGCGCGCTCGTGAGAGCGGAGGGCCCTTTAACCACTAGGCTACCACTGACTGAGCTTTATATACCTTTATACAATATATTTTTTATCATATCTCAATTTTTTTAAAGAAGGCGAAACTTTAATTATTTTTAAAATAATTCATATATGTAATAGGATAGGATAGGATTGGACTCCGTTAAAAGGTGTTTAATGAGATACTTATAATTTATAGTTTGCCATGGGTAAATTAGTTCGCCATTGAGTTTTATAGAACTGTGTAACGAACGTGTAACGGTAAACTATATTATCTCGATATTTTATGGACCATGTAAATTATGGTGCAAGGAAACTATGACTTAGTAAATGTTATGTTGGAAGTTCTTATCCTAGAATCAATATACAGTAAGCTAGTGACTAACACTATAAAAGGCTATGTTGACCGAACCCTGGGCTCATTGTTAACAAAAAATTCTCCAACTAAACGCGAATATAATACCAAAAAGTGAACCGAGAATTTGATTGAGGATATTATGATTTGAAGCCGGATAATTCTAAGAAATGTTGCGCGCCGCTTCTTTTATACGGAATAGACAGGTATTAAAGATATGTGAAGGATTAGTTTTTTTTTGTGTTTCTTTGTTTGTACGTTACGATACCAAATTTATTTAGGCACTGTTAAGAAATCTTCATATTTTATTCATTATTTATCCGTTTCATAAATTTATCATATTGTTAATTTATCGTAATAATATTTTAATAATTAAAAAATCAATTAATCTTTTCCTTTTATTCCACTCAATATGTCGGAGTTGGTTGTCGACTGGCGACGAGCCAGTGGGCGGAATCCTGAAACCCCGTTATTCTTTTTGCCTCCTCACTGAGCCTTTTTACTTTTATACCTTTTGCTTTTTCTGTATGATATAACAAACTAGATTGTGAGGACTGGTTTTTATAAATACAATAGTTATATAGCAATCATCGGATGCCACTTACGTTGATGTCATAAAGTACGTTGACTTTTATTACCCTATAAATAGAATTAGAAATGTACATGCATATAGAGAGTTCACGAAACACTGATATTATATTAGACGAATGCGGAAACTGAATACTAATTTTTATGCACGTTAAGGTTGTATGGTCGATTTAGATAATTTCGTCTATTTAAAAATCTTTTGTTATATTTAATGATGAAATATATATATGAAGTTAATTACATCTATTCAATTATAATTAGTTATAGACCGAGTTGTCTTACAATTGATGTATGTACCGTAGGTATGGATATATATATGTATATCCATACTCATTAACAGTATCGTCATTTGAACAAGATAGGTGATGTTATTGTTGTTACCAATAATAATTATTTAAAAATATATACATTATAATGATGATTAAATAATAAGCACGAGTGATGAGCTGGCGGGGAGGGATGTCGTTTCACGTTTGAACTGGTATCTCAGGCTTAGTTCGCTGGCTGGTGACCGACACACTGTGCCTGACCACCGAGCGGTATGCTGGCCTCCGAACGTACCGTCCAACACCGCGCCGCCTCGGCGATACTAAAACGATTATCATTAGGGAGCTTCAGCACTTACTCTCTTGTACGTATAGTGTTCATTCATCGCGACCGCCCACAGAACGCCCTCGTGCCGCGCGCTCTAAATACCCGCCCATCGTCATCGCGCGAGACGCTCCGTGTTCCCTGCTCTTAGTCACGGCGATCGCAAATCTGTCACTGGACGTGTTGCAGACCGCTCGTCTATTATGCGTGTAGTCGCGATATGTCCCAATCACCCGAACTGCCTAAAACAACCAACGGTGACAATGAATACGTTCACATACGCTGTCTCATCGCCAATATACACAAACCGAGAAATGTGTCGAGGCCCCCGGTGTCCGAGTCGCCGCTGGAGGTAGTTAAAGAGTCACCGACGTCTTCTGATGCAGATCCCAGCTGCTCCGAGTCCGATATCTCCGAGAGGTCGGAGACATCAAATGTGAACGATACAAACAACACTGAAGAAGCTCCTCCGAGGAGAGCTAAGAGCAACAGTTTCGCTGGTGCTATGCTCGCTCCTCCGATGTTCAACAAGAAGCGGAGGCCGTCCTTCCTTCACCTCACCGTCGGTGGTGGGAACGAGCACTCTGGGCCTTTGTCAGCAGGGTCACACTTCAACGTGCCCCGCTTCACTGTCACAGCACCACCCGGGGAGCATCGCCGTTTCAGTCATGGCTTCCCGTTCCATGGCTTTGCTCTTCGACGTCATTCCAATACGGTCCGACATTATATAGTATGAAGTGTTGGCCCTGAGATAACAACACCGATTTTGGATTGCTGTTCTGAAACACTGGTACTAACAAGCATGTTCACCGTGTGTTCTTTTGTTTTGTTTTCTAAATCCACGAGTGTCTTTTGTTTACTTTTATTAATACTTTAAAATTTTTTCGCTCTTCCACTACTAAGTGTAGAACGTAATTTGTTTAGTGATTTTTATCGGATAACAAGGATAGACAGATAATAATATAGCTTAGGCACATATAATGGAATATATAATTCCTCATATCAGTAACCAAAACGTCACAAAGATATAAACAACTGAATAATATAAATGTATAATATAACCCAAAAGTTTATAAGGAGAAGTCGTCTTGTGATATCTCTCGTTATCATTTTATCTATAATTAATATTCATTCTAGAGCGTGAACTGTGAAGTGCAAAACGTTTATGTTGATTTTATTTAGTGATATTATTGGTTCTATTAATATTTACAATAATTACGTACTTAATATAATAGGGTTGTTATGTTACGTTGGAGTTTACAAGCGGCTGAGGTGCAGTGATGTTTTAACAATTAACACCAAACTTTTAGTATAAGATTAATATAAATAACAGTCCCTGAATAACATATCTAGTAGGTTTACATGATCAAAGTATGCCAAATTTATATTGGAATGATTTATAGCTTAGTTAAAATTAGAATTTCTTTAACTCCGCAGTTAACAATTCAATTATTCTTGACTAATGCTTATCAAAGGTTGTAAATGTTTGTTTGTATGTGTGACGTTTCTTTATATTACAGAGCCTTCACCGCACCGAGTCGATGGTGTCCCTGGCTTGCTTCAAGACGCTCTCTCAGCTGGTCAACACAGATGGGAACGAGTTGCAGAACTTCCTATCATCTAACAGAAACATAAACGTCGACGACAAAGACGATGTAAAACATATTAATTACTACATTTAAACTAATATCTGATTATAATTTATTAAAATAACACTAGAAAACATTCTTACATAATCTCTTAGTGCTTTTATATTATATTTTCATTGGATAATTTAGTCAAATCGCTTTTTATATTGTGTGTTAAAAGTTCACGAAGACGAGTTTTTGTAGTTTGATATTTAAATTAAAATCTTTTTCTCATATATATGCGTTATGTGTATTTAAGTCTTATATTTGAATGTCATGTTTTTAGTATAATTAGGTATATCTATTACAATACATATATACAAATGTATCTATATCATGATACATTGAAGATAGTACATATATAAATAGGCGAAATATTAAAAAGTATTCGTTACATATAATAATGATAATGAGTTTATTTTTATAAAAATGCTTATTCTATGAATGAAAAAATACATAATTAGTTTTGCTGTGTTGTTAAGTATGCATTAATTAGTTATTGATGATCCATTGTTTGTCATAAAGTCTATCGGACGAGGCTTATAAGCAATGAAATTCAGTAGCAATGGAGTTAGCTCAGTGGAAACATTCACGATAATGTCCAAACATATTCATATTAATATTAATTAATAATTAGTTAATTATGAAAGATGTGATAGCAATAAAGAGGGGTGGTGTTAATGGTATATTACAGAATGGTACCACCGCGCTTATGGTTGCGAGTGAGTGCGGGCGGCTGTCGGCGGTGCGTTTGTTACTGGGTTCAGGTTCGGACGCGTGTGCAGCTGATGGTGATGGATGGACGAGCCTCGCGTTCGCAGCCAGGGGAGGGCACCTGGCCGTGGTGCAGGAACTTATTGACGCTGGCGCCGTCATCGATAGCAGGGATTGTGTGAGTTGACCTTTTATATCTCTATATAGAACTGTATAATAATGTGAGTGAATCTCATGGTTTTTTTGATAATTTTCTAATATCCCCTGGAAATTTGCAATTTATTTAAATAGCTATGTTGACATCGTTTTCGAAATCACGGCAGATAAAATTGATTGTAATAATTACAATTTTCAATCATATAAAACACAGTTTATCGTTTTTTTATTTATAATTTTACGTATGTACAAAAAACTGTCATTGTTTTCGTCATGATGAAGAGTCGTGTTAAATATAAAATATTTTACGTTACAAGTGTTCAAGTTTTATTGTCATTAACGCAAATTATGAACACAGTGGTATAAAAAAACTATTTCTATTTATAAATCCAATTAAAAACCTATACCCATTTAGATGTACCGGCCTAAGTTATATAAATGTTTCTACAAAAATATGATAAAAAGCAAATATTTTAAAGGGAATGTTAGAAGAATATAATATATATTTTCTTCTACTAGATTTTCATTGGCAAATAAACGAAATAATTGTATTTTTTTTTAAATCGATTTCAAATAAATACCGACACCAATTGCTTTCTTAATAGGAAATGACTTCTTATGTATGTACATAAAGCCTTCAATGGAGACTAATTTTTCCATAATTAATAAATAAAAACAATACTTTTTCACATAGCACTGATACAAATGGTGGTGTATTGTCTAATTATAAAAATTTAATAGCACCTAGCGTTCGATACTCGATATTTATACGATACATAATTTATTTATACGATAAATAATTTATTTATTAATACAAGTTCAATAATAGAATGGAAATGTAATTATGTTCGATAATACACTAGTAAGGAATCATTATGGATTGACATATGTTTTATACGTGTGAAATTCAGAGTAATATGTGTTGTTTGTTTGAAATAAATTAATGTTAACTTAATACATTAAATTACCTTTAGTGCCTATATCTTCAATATATAAAATTGGCTGTTTTAAATTGAACGTTCGTTATTTAAAAAAAGCAAAAAAATTTAAACTTGCTTATTAATATTATGATAATAGTATTTTTGTTTCAATTCTTTATCTATAACAAACACAAGCCGAGAAATGTCCTAATTCCCAAGATCGTGTTTGAGATAAAAATATTAATTTAACTAATCTTTATAAAAATATAAACGATCAATAAAATACGTAACAGTTTTATAAGTGTTTGTTGTTATTTAGTATCGTATTAATATAAAATATGCTTTTCATAAATCTGTTGATTGATGATCGTCTTTTAAACGAATTCCTTGGAAGATGTTTGTAAATAAACGATCAATGCCTTTTTTTCTTCGTCATTTGCGCCAAAGATTCGGGAATCACAATAATATAATTAATTTTATATATTACTGTTATATCTTTTTTAAAAGAAATTACTTTCTGAATAAATTTATTAGCATTAAGGTTACGACGGATGCACCATGCATAAGATTTGACCCAAAAAACTTTTGAACCAACAATATATTCTGGACAGTACACACAAATAAATATTAGTGCTGGAACATAGCCAAGGTTTAGAGACATCCCCACATTCTTAAAACTGGTTAAAATTAAAATACAAATATAGTACAGTGGTCCCCTTTCATAACTTATTAATAGAGTGTTCAATCTCTGCCAATAACTAATTGCTTTAATTAAATATACGAGATCAAATACCTTAGTTGTTAGGGATGACGCGTCACGGCCTGTTCTGATGTTGGTCAATTAATTACAGAGACTCAACAAATGATAAACATGCGTCACTATGACGTTTCAATTGAATTGAGACACGTAATATATCCTTAGTATGAATTGGTTATGTCGAGTCGAAAACTATAATACCATAGTCACCGATACATATATCGTTCGCGATATTTAAGTAATCGAAGATTCTGGAATTATGTTATAACTATAAGTATTTATGTAGAGGATGTTAAAGGCCCGCCTCTCATGCATGAGGGCGCGGGTACGAAACCTAGGAAGTTACAATGCGATTCGCCAACCCGTCTTGAGCAAGCGTGGTTGTTAATCTTCAAATATCCATGTGAGAAGAGGCCTTGGGTCAGAAGTGGGCCCTGATAGGCTGATGATGATTTTGATATTGATATTTTTGATGAAATTAACAAAATTAATATATACACAGGGAGGATGGACGCCTCTCATGTGGGCTTCATACAAAGGTCACGAAGAAATCGTCGTATTGCTTTTGGAAAAAGGCGCCGACGTACACGCACATGGCAACTACAATATAAAGTGAGTCATAAAATATATATTTTAGATATATAATAATCTTACAGATTTATTTCCCCATCTCAAGTAATGATCGTTACTGTCAGCTTCGCCATTTACAATCAGATATGGTGCTATTGTGATCCGTTTGAGTCATTTAAAAATATATTATATGATAATTTCCTTGTAAATATACATCCTCTTTGTCGTCATTCGTCCATAATATATCATATCTTGATACATTCTATACAAAACAATATAGAATAAACTGTTCTTTATGAAAAACTTTCTTCAGTAACTAAGTAACTTCGGGACCGAACACCGTTTTTTGAGTTAATATTTAAATAACATAATCTATTTTATCAGAACCGGTTCATAGTGCATTTACTTATAATATAATTTTTTTGCTTCTTCATTGGATTGATGCATTCATTACAACCCATTGAGGTGTAGGTCATGTCATATGTAAATAAGGTTAAAAATGTGTTACAGATTTATTATACATAGTTATTTTGACCTTATTTTTATGAAGGTCTAAAATATATTCACATAATAGTTATTGGACCATCAGCATCCTTCTCTTCTCTCAAGGGTTGCAACGCATCCGCGGCACTATGTTGCAGATTTTCATGAGCAACGATAACTACTTGCGATCATTTAGGCTGTCTGCTCGTTTGCCTCTTCAGCATAAAACAATAAAAATAATTTAATCAATCGATTTGGAGCATTTTTAACAACGCTAACATAGATTCTGTGGTATAAAACCTACATATACCAGTACAAATAAAAATTGTGTATGTTCAGTTCTTTAGTATGGGCAGCTGGTCGACGTCATAGTGGCGTGGTGACTCGCTTATTATCAGCGGGTGCTCGTCCCAATTCCTGCGACAAGTACGCCACATCAGCCCTCACATGGGCAGCCCGGGCCGGAGACACGGCTTCATGCGCCGCGCTCCTACGAGCTGGGGCCGACCCTAACACAGCTGGCATGTACTGTTGGACACCATTACTACAAGCTACTCACGGTAATCATACATAAATATTTATAACTCTAGAAAGAGTTTCCCTGCGTCATCAAAAAAAAAAGCTACTAACGGTAACCATAAATAAATATAAAAGAAAGTCGTGTTAGTCACACTATTTATAACTCTAGAACGGCTGTAAGGATTTGGCTGGAAATTTGTCTGAATGTAGCTTATAATCAGGAGACATATATAGGAAACTTTTGTATACATATACTTACTTTCTTCGGTGCTTACAACTTACTTATACTTAGTTTTCCATATAATTTACCAAAAAAAAAAAAATAGCCAATAAAATTTTAAAAAAGTTTGATAAGTGCTAAAGCGGAACAGTTCGCCTGGACATTTCTTATTTTGAAACTAAGTCAAAGTCGCGGACAAAAACTAGTATATAAATATATACAAAGCTATATTACAAGTACTTTTTATTGTATTTACGTGTTTTAAAGACTATTCAGATAGTACACAAATAGTCCTGGCGACATAGTTCATAAACAAATCTTTCACTTGATAATTTCTGATTGCATTTAGTTTGTCACGTTGTCTAAAGTTTGATGAAAATTAAAAACACCGAAGTATCCCAAAGTTGGTTGTCAGCCAAGCGTCCAAGACGTTTTGTTTACTGAGCTCATATGAGTTCTATAATTACATATCATCTTTAAAATTAATTTTAGCCTCACTGAAAGATAACAATCAAACTATTATTTTTATCTACATATATATTTTAATAAATTAAGGAGCACTCTTAAATAAAAGCGATTTAATTAAAAAGATTGCATTGTAAGAAATGTTGTGTTAATTTACCTTGAATTTTAATTTAGTTTTTATTTAAACTGTACATTTTTTTTACTAGATAACGTAAATAACATTAAGGATATTGATAATCATTCTGAATACAATGAAATAAAATTAATATTTTTTTATTTATAGGTAACCACTTCGAAATAGTCCAAATGTTGCTGGAACACAAACCCAACGTGAACGCGTTGGATAAGGATGGTTGCACAGCGCTAGCTATAGCTTGTAAAGAAGGATATTATGATATCGCATTGGCCTTAATAAACACTGGGGCGTATATTAACGTGCAGGTAAATAACTATAGAACCTAGTATGATAAATTATAACATTTAGTGTGAAGTGAACTTCAAGGATAGTCTCCCTTGCCAATATTGACACCTCATTTGATTAACCATCTCATAAGTCATGTCATATTTCTTGGATGTCATTAATTATTTAATAAATCCAAGCATTTAACATAAATACGCCGTTTTCTACAATTATCAACATAATTTATGAGCGTCTATTAATATAAAGCTGCAATTTTATAACTACAGGAGAATTTAATGTTTAAGAAGCTGTTTGCTTTCTTAATTAAAATCTTGGATTTTCTTTCGTCATTTTGACCAATCATATGCTATTTTTTTTTTTACACAAATAATTCTTCATTAATTTCGCTTTAATTCAAGAATAGAACCATAACAGTTAGGCATAGTATAAAATCAACCAATATGTCACATTAATTCAGATAATTCTATATTTTTGACCAACTTCAAGAATAATGGGGTTCACTATTCGTCTGTATTTTGATTTTATGTTTTGTTACCTCATAACTTTCGACTGGTTAATCTAGTTGTATTAATCTAGTTGTGTGTATATTAACATTTCAGGATCACTCAAAGGACACGCCCCTTATATACGCTGTGAAGGGTGGATATAAGAACATAGTAGAGGCTTTGTTGAAGAAGCATGTAGATGTTGACCTGCCAGGGAAGGAGAAGAAGACACCGGTGTATACAGCAGTGGAGAAAGGTCACGTCGCCATATTGAAACTCCTGCTGGCTTCAAATCCTGATTTGGAACATTGCACCACCGTAATTAAACCATTTATAATTTATATACTTACCTTAATACGTATATAGTTGAACAATACCAATATATGACTGAAAAAAAAAGGTGAGAGACCCTTTTTTCCAATTTTAAATTTATTCAAGCCTCAAATGACTTTTTCTTACTATGATACGATATTTTTAAATATGTAGCCATATAAAAATTCTATTTAAATTTCGAATTTATTATTGATTCTATTTTTTTATCGAAAAACAATCTGCAAAAGATTTCTATCAATTAATTGTATTAAATTTTTCTGTTTTGTATATTGCTCTTACGGAAAACATGGCCGCTGAGATAGAAGGTTGGCAGTGAATAGTCCTTATATTTTTCACCTTTAAACATGTCGTCTACTTTTTTTTATTATTATTGCACCAAACGTTTAAAATTTTCATACTATCATATCATTAGTAAAAAATTATATTTAAATTCTACACATTGATTTTATGACATTTTTAACATTATCTGCACCGGATTCGTAAGTATTTTTTTTGTACACAACAATTAAAATCTGCATTGTCTGCATATTTCTCAATACATATTCCATTTATTCACCTCTACTTTATTTTTAATAATATATCAACACGTGCTTGCAACGATAATCCACCCTATATATTGTGTTATCTTTTTAAAATTGTCATTTTCCCATACCACCAATACTTCACTGGCAACAGCTTCTAGATAAATATCCGTTATTGCTAGTTCGGCGCTTAAAACATATCAATAAATAAAACTATTATATAATGAAATCTAAGATTTTTTGCGAGTGCTCATTTAAATGAAATAATATTTTCGGATTTAATACGCGATTTTTAATTTTCGTAAAACTGTTACTGCAAAGTAGTCGAAACGTCGGGAGTATGTAGTGTATAGTCGAAAAAAAAACGCGTAATAAATCCGAAAATATTAGTTTCATTTAAAACTATTTTATCTGGAAGTCAATAATATGTTTTTATATACTAGAGCGGTGACACGGCCCTTCTACGTGCTGTTCGGTCCCGGAACGCAGAAATGGTGGCTTTGTTACTAGAGAGACGAGCCCGTGTCGCAGCCGCTGATAACAGGGGAGATACAGCGCTACACGTCGCTATGAGGGCTCGGTCAAAGGTAATACACACATACACACACAAACACACACTCATACACATACACACACACCTACAAACACACACACATATACACATACAAACGAAATACATTCAGACGCAAGTAAACATGTAGTCGAATATCATACACTCAATAACTCAATAGAAACAGACGTCGAACACTCACCTACTGACAAATGTACAACATGAATATGTTAGCATGTACGTACTCAAACATGCAAATATAATATATATTAATAACTATAATGTACTAAAAATTAAATTTATTTATTAGTACGAGTATGTAAATAATATAGTTTGGATCAATTCATCACCCACATTTTTTTCTTGCAGCAAATTGTTGAAATCCTCTTGCGGAACCCAAAGAACAGCCAGCTCTTATACAAACCGAATAAAATGAACGAAACTCCATACAACATAGATATGAGTTACAACAAGACGATATTGGGTCAAATATTTGGAGCTCGTAAACTAAACACCAACGAGGATAATGAGAATATGCTGGGATACGAACTGTATAGCGCGGCGTTGGCTGATATGCTCTCAGAACCGAGTCTCTCAGTACCCATCACTGTGGGGCTCTACGCTAGATGGGGTTCAGGGAAGTCATTTCTGCTTAATAAACTTAAAGGTAATAGTTTACTTAAATTTACTTATATAGATCTTTAGACTTAGAACGACAATACATCACAATGCATAAGTCTAACAATTTAATCCATATATAGTTTTACAAATATGTAATAAGAACATTGATAATTAATCAAATTTGGAACCCAAGTAATTGAAACGAGTCTATTGTTATTAGAAAAGATGTAAAAAAAATCCCTCCTTAATACAACTTCCTATTAAATTATCTTTTCTCACTTGTTCGAAATTTAAATATGTCTTATTTGTTCGAAATACAAAAAACTTAAAATGATTAGAGAAGATATCAAAATCTTCCTTTATACGACTCCAGTATACAAAGTTCTTCATTTATTCTAAATTTGATTTTTCAAAACTTTATCCAATTTCAAAAACACTCAGAATGACTAGAGAAGATATTAAATGCTTCCCTTCTTTATAACATGTCAATATACAAAATACCTCGTTTGTTCTAAATTTGATTGTTCCAAACTTGTTCCAATTTAAAAACACTCAAAATGACGAGAAGATATTAAATGCTTCCCTTCTTTATACCCTCTTCAATATACAAACTTCTCCGTTTGTTCTAAACTCGTTCCAATTTCAAATGGAATGCTAAGTGTCAACTGTCAAGTGTCATTATTCCAGAGGAGATGAAGAACTTCGCTCGTCAGTGGAGCGAGACGGGCTGGTCGTGGTCGTGGGCGGTGTGGTGGGGCGCGTGGCACGCGTCGCTGGCGGTGGCCGCGTGTTCTTCTATGGCGGGCGCTCCCGCTCACGTGGCGCTCGCGCTGTTGTTCTCGCTTTTCGCTGCCATGTACCTCGGCTTCTATCTGTTGTGGTACTTAGGGAATAGGTGAGAATAGAATTATGTAAATGTGGTATCTATTTTGCGTGTATATTTGGTGCATTTCTATGACATGGGTATCAAATTAAACGGCTCACTGTGATAATTTGAAAAAAAAAGTCATCTGTATATTTATGCCTTTTAATAATTAATTAAATTTATTCTATAAGAATAAATGAGCCCCTATCATATCCACATATTTTTGAAACCAACCATCAGCCAAATTATAGTATTAATAGAGTAATTTTTTATAAAGTCTACATTTATTATGTTTAACTGTTTTTGTAATTATTTCATAAATTGTGTAGCAAAAGAAAATTAGTTTCATTTATCAATGCTTTTCCCTATATTTAGATACGAGTGGTGGTGGGCGGGCGGTATGGTTGCTGCGTTAGGCCGGCGATTCAGTTCTTTACTGTTGCTCCTACAAGTTGTTTTCTGTCACCCGCCTGGCCCCAATGACCCTCGAGCGTTACCCGCAACGCCTATCAGGTAATTATGATAATGTTTACTCATATTATTCTTTTATAGGGTTAAAATTGAAATTTGCTCTCTGCTCGTATAAAATCTATATAAGAAGCAACACTATTAAATCAAAATTCAAAACCTTTTGACAATAGTTTAATTTATTTTTTATGTAGTATTGGGCTAAATATGAACAAATATAATACAGAATAAATGATTATTTGATTAAGACATTTAATTTATTCAGCAAAAATCTATCTAAATGTCTTAATAAACGTGAAAAATTATTCTATTCCACAGATTTCACTTTACAGAGGGTATGAAGAGTGGTCCGGGCCAGGAGGGCGAGGCTATGGTTGTACAAATGTTGGGGAGTCTCGCGGAGGCGTTGGAGTGTCAGTATGGAAGAGTGTGTACCAGACTGGCGAGGGCGTTCAGACCGAGACCACTGTCATCGACGTCAGGGTGGAAGTAAATAAAACTAATCTTTATATATATAATTCTTCTGTGAGTGTGTATGTCACTGAACTTCTCTCAAACGACTAGACCGATTTTGATGAAATTTTTTGTGTGTGTTCAAGGGGATCTGGGAATGGTTTAGATTCACAATTTTATCCGCTGGACAATGGTTATTTAATTAATTTTTAATTTATTAGTAGTTGTTGATACAAACTTTTTTTTGACATTAGATTTGACAACTAACTAATATGTCAATCATTCTGTCGCACTTCAAAACACGGAGATTTATGGCTTAAAGGTAAAACGTAACAGATATTTCTTGATTATAGAGCGATACGAAGTTCGCCGGGTCTTCTGGTATATTTATATAAGTAAACAGCAATAAGAGGACATAATACTTTATAGTCTTTAGACTAATAGAAATTAAACCTAGCAAAAAACGTTGAAGTAAATGTATAAAGTATATACCTATATAGTAAAAAGCAATAAATGGAATTAAGGCCTTGCCGTCTGTGGACTAGTGTGAACTAAGCATAGCAAAAAACATCCAATTAGATAAATAAAAGTAATTAAAAAATAAATAACAATCACATGGTAAATAATGAAATAATACATCCATAACAAAATATTAATAATGTTCAGATAATAAGTAATTGTGATATTTTTTTATATTTTACATTAAATATATCTGATTTTATATTTATACTTTCAGATGGCGGAAGGCGTGTTGTATTCCACATATAATAACATTCGAGCTGAGCTTCATATGTGTTTTACTCGGTGTGTGTGTGCTGGTGTTGTATCTGACTGACCCTGAGGAAGATCCAAGGTGAGAGAACTTATCTTTGATTATAATATATTATTATATTTGTCTAAGATACTGCTTTATATTGTTGGTTGTTTAATTGGAACTTATTTATAGTAAGCAAATAGTTAACGCTATCAAATTTACATTTATATGAATAGAATGGAAGTATTTTCTTTCGATAAATTTTCTGTACCATTAAAAAAATATTTAATAATAAATAATATTTATACAACACCTAAGTATAATTTAATCAAACTAACAAAAAAAATATTCACATTAAACCTGCTTAATTTAATTTTGATTGAAAAGTTATTGCTTTTAATATGTATATGTATTTAAAGTATCATACACCACTGCCAGACAGTGAAGGAAAACATAGTGAAGAAACCTGGACTTATAATTTCAAATTATAAGTTTGAAATCACCAACCCGTTTGATAAAGCGTGGTGATTAATGTTCAAATCTTCTCCATGTGAAAAGAGGCCTTTGCTGAGCGGTGGGCTGTGATAGGCTGATGATAATGATGATTGACATATTTTAATAATCTTTTATATATTTCCAGTCGTCGTGACGTCCGTCAGGGTGTAATGGTAGGTGCGTGCGCAGCGGCGGGTGCAGTGCTCCTCGCAAACCTGTACGCGGGAGCACGTGCTCTAGCGGCGCTTGCTTTACCGCCTCGAGCAAGACTCGCACGTGCTTTGAAAAGGGATCACGCTCACACCGTCGCGTTAAGGCCGGAGGTTCAGGCACTCACTCACACCGTTAGTACATTTATTTCGATACGATTGAAGTAATGACATAAAATAATACATGCATCTATATGCATTATACTTTGGTGTACCTAATATTTTTTAGATAAATGTGATATTTGGACAACTTTTGTAAGTACCTCTAACTAGATTTTATACACTATTATGTCATATTTAAATATATACTGCTCAATATTAGACTGCTACTAATCATTTATAAATTAATATAATGTTCAATTTGTCGCTTGTACATCGTTGCAGAGATTATATGATATCGTTATAATAATTTTAAAAGTTTTAATCGACAGTATTTCATAAAATTATGGAAACCGTAATGTTATTCATAATTAAATACTCCTAGCCAATAAATGTTTCTTACAATACGTGTATATTGTCAGGTGTCGTGTTTGGACGCGTTCACCGGTCAGCAGACCCGGCTGGTAGTAGTAGTGGATGCTCTGGACAGCTGTGAGCAAGAAAAGGTTCTTGCGCTACTGAACGCTGTACACGCGTTGTGTTCAGACCCTCGCAGCCCCTTTATACTACTCCTGGCTATCGACCCGCACATCATCAGCAAGGTACGATTACATCAACTTTGTTTTGATGCAAGTTATATAAATATATATCTTCGAGGATAATATTTGTCATTAAAGGTAGTGTCGGATTAATTTTTAGGAATATATTAAAAATGTAAAATTATAACCGTAGCTTCTAGCTATAATACTGACAAATCTACAGCAGATTCATGGTCCACCAAAATATTTTTTATAATTTAATCCGGCACTGGTGAAAAGACATATTATATAGATTTGCATTTATTTGTTATTTGAACTTCTTCGCAAGTTATATATATCAAATAATATTTATTAATATAACAGAACATGAGGTAGAATCAATAGATTGATAACATTTGAAATGCGCAGGTTGCTTGGATGGAGGTCAGTTCAGTGTTGGGGTGTTCCCCTTTAGTTGTCCAACAGTATATGTTGTGGATAATATTATTCATGTGTGCTTGCATGATTATCCCTTTTTTTTTAGTCCTTTGAATAAAATATTGGTGTTGCATGACAATAAGTCCGTATCTCAGAGCCGTGACCGATTTTTATATGATTTGCATTATATTTTTTTGTATCTATGTAATGTTAATTCTAGTTTGTATATATCTGTGACGTTGCTGTATCTGTTAGGCGGTAGAGATAAACAGTCGTCGAGCGTTCTCTGAGAGTAACATCGGTGGTTGGGACTATCTTCGTAACATGGTCCAACTGCCCTTCTACCTACAAAACTCAGCTCTGAGGAGGGTGAAGGTGGCTCAGCAGACTGCTGCTAGACGGATGCAGGCGCTAGCTGTAGACGACTTCAGTACATCGTTACAGAGATCCGTAAGATTATAAGATATCGCTTTTATTATAATTATGATTATAAACTATGATTGATAGTACTTCAAAGTTTGGTACAAACTTTTTACAAGATTTTTCAGAAGTAAAAAATCCTAACCAGTTATCGGAATTATTTTTTTCTTCAATTTCAATTTTATTAATTGTTGCTCACTGACATCCATTTTTAGTATAATTTCTTGGGTCAAAAGTTGTTTTGTTTTTATTCAGTCTTCCGTGTCATTAATTCAGTTAGCTATACGAATCAGTGTGTTATATAAAAATTGTGAATAAAATAAAATAATTTCTTGCAAAATAAACACTTAATAGAAATTCGAAGATGTTTTACACAAAAAATGCAATTTCACCAATAATGCCATATATTTTAAAATTGTAAGAAAATCTTCCTACTCTAAGTTCAAATAATTACGTCATTGTTAACAATTATTCCAACTTCATTACGTCATATAGGTATCAGCCCGTCGGTTGTCGTCTACATCAGAGTTGATGTCCAGTCAGGAGCGTATCAAGGGTCGCGGGGAGGTACGGGGAGAGGGGGGCCGGGGTCGTCTCCGTCCCTCGGAGTCCGTGGCGTCGTCAGTAGCGTCAGGTCTGCACCGGCCGGCCCCCGCCCCCGCGGGTGCTGCGGACCTGGGCCGGGTGCTGCTCACTGACGATTACTTCAGTGACGTCAACCCCAGGAGTATGAGGCGGCTCATGAACGTGCTTTACGTCACTGGTATGAACAAGACTGATTCTTTATATATGTTTAGTTTGATACATCAATATCCTAACGACTGTTCTGTGCTGTTTATTTTATATTATTGATATTACTTAATTGTTAAATACTTTAAAATTTAATATTCGTACACATTTCTATTTGACTTATATGTCGTAAATAATATTTGCCATAGGAAAGGTTTGATAGTCTTTATGTAAGGCTCAGTCGCGATATCATCCTATATTTTCGTTTAGCGTTATTAGTATGTTATTTTTTCTTTTATTGTACAGAATCGTATTCTTTTTTGCTTTCATAAACCTAGGTTTGAAGAGAAGTATACTGAGAGAATACTGATTGTGACACATAGGAACTTATAAGAATAAATTACACATTGCTATCGAATTACGGCATGGATTTTCTGTTTGAAACAAAATCTGTAGATAGTAAAATTTACCCTAAGATTCATAATTAAAACTCGATAAAGTTAATACCTAGGTAGTTCAAAGATTATGTAAGGTACTTGATGTTAAGTATAAAAAGCCATAAGAAAAAAGTCATTCGCCACCTTTCGATATATTAATCACATACTATAAGATTATATTACATAAAATTTATGTAAAGGTTTTAGTTGATAAGCCTTTAATTAGATGTACTTACATATTTATTATATTTATTATTTATATTTATTATATGATGTTTGTTAAAAATACTCTCAATGTTAAGGTACATTATATATTTAATTTATTTATTATAAACAATTCAAGGCTATTAAGTATTACGAAACATTATTTAAATCGAAGATTTCAACACATTAATGTTAATACATTCATTTTACTTTTCTAACCTTTATTATATTGTAAAACTAATATAGTTAATTTCTCACATTTTATACAGTTACGAATTTTGCTTTATTCCCAGGTCGTCTCCTGAAAGCTTTCCAAATAGAGTTCAACTGGTACCAGCTCGCGTCGTGGGTGAACCTCACAGAACAATGGCCCTTCAGAACCTCTTGGATCATCTATCATCATGAAACATATGAAGAACACATCGAGGATTCCACTTCACTCAAACACATCTATGACAAGTATGATCTAAAATCTTAATCAAAGCTTCCAAAATTTTTTGTCATAGGCTATTTTCAAGGTTTAACTGGTGAAAGGCATATTTCTACTTCCTAAAACTTGATAAAAATATATCCACTTTCTACTTGAACCACTTTGAAAATCACAGGTCCTAAATAATATTAATGGGACTAAAATATTTTCCAAAATCTACAAAATTTTGTATTATCTAAAAATGTTTTATCAGAATAAATAGTCCATAGTCCATACAATCGAGCCTTATAGTTGTTTGTTTTAATGACAGAGTTAAACCTTCAATGGGCGGTCTTCGTGAGGCCAGTACATTGATCGAGTTGGATCGTGATGAGCGTAAACTAGAAGTGTTCCTGAGCTTCCACCGGTCCACACTCACCGCCGCTGATCTCAAGATATTTTTACCGTTCACTATCAACTTAGATCCCTACATCAAGAAAGTTATTAAAGGTTATTATCAAGTCTTAAAGTACATAGTTATTAATGATAACCGTGTTGTTGTAACTCGTTTCTTATTCTGTCTTTCTATCTAACTTTAAATGGTTTAAATATATATAAGATTTCGTTTCATTCAATTCTGTTAATTTACAAGGTCGATTACAATATCATAATAAAAATAAGTATAGTGTATATTACAAATTATCTTCTTAAGAACAGTTTTTTATACGTTATAATTTTAAAATAAACCACAGATTACAACATTTTGTGGTGCTTGTCCTATAATACGTGAGGAAAGTTATATTTTTCTTTACACATATAGATAAAAATTAAATAGTAGAAATGTTGTTGTCGGTTTAGAGAAGATTATCTTCCATGAAATGAAATATAAACCGTATTAATGTTTCAGAGGAGCACGCGCAGGCCGGTGTTGAAGAAGACCTGGGGGCTAGCGGGGCAGCCTCCATGTACGCGAGCAACAGAACACAGCAGGCTAAACCCTTCCACAAGAAACAGGTAGGACATAGAATAAACTAAACACCGAAAACAATACTATAAAACATCCCAATATGTAAACTAATTTAACTAATGTATGGAACATTTTATACAAAGCCAATATGGTTGAGAAAATTGGTATGTTTTGATTATTATGTGGATTGTGTGTATGACTATTTTTTCTAAGATTTCCGTTGGTATGGGTTCTTGCAGAGGATTTACAAAATATATTCTTCCAAATAAATATATATTAAAATTATATTTTTATATGATTAGCAGAAAATCGTGGCTCAGCCCGTCCTGTCTGGTACACAGCAGTGGTCGAACTGGAACCACTCCGCGCCGCAGCCACAGCCGCAGACATACGTCCAAGAAGCATCACAATCACAACCGATGGCCATCAACCCCGTCGTGTTACTCAAAACTGCATTCCCTGGACTAGTACGTCGTTTAAATACTGTATCATAATTAATATTTCTTGTCAATTTAAAACTGTACAGTTAAGATTTTGGATACATTGTTTATTGGTAGATACTTGTCTGAAAAATCACTTAGATTACATTATACATTCGTATTTAAAAATGTGGGTACGAAGCTTTAATTTACTATGTTTCTTTTATGGAAGGACAGCTCACTAAGTTACGTGGTACAAGCAAATAAAACACCAGTTATAATTTGTAATTAATATATTATGTAAACCGTCAGGGCGACGTATCAACACTACGTCTATCAACGATGAGTACGGAGCGTGTGTGCGGTCTGTGTCGCGTGGCGCTGGGCGGGGTGGTGGGGGGTGCGGGAGGGGGCAGCACGGCCGCCGCCGCGCTCATGAAGCACAGGGTGTGCGGGCTCGTGCTCACCGTGTGTAGGCTGGACGATCTGAAACCGGTTGGTATTTGTACTGTTTGTGTACTTAACTTGAATATCGGCTCACTGCCTAACTCGCCGCACGCGTGTCCGTCCAGCTCCGTGGTTCTATTCAAAGTGAGCGAGGAAGGGGCAGTATGCCCCGCCCCACCACCATACTGTAGCGTGCAGCGTGTACGCATGAGACGACAGACATTTATAATAGAATCTACATACACTACAGTATTACTTACTAGAGAAAGGTCAAATATGCGCACTAAAGTTAAAGATATTCAGTATACAGCTACCTCCTGGGGAGACGCTGTCAAAGCCATTAGGGCTGACAGCAACAGACAAGCTGAGACTAAAAAAAAAACAAAAACAGTGTATAATTGTTACAATTTGTCACTAGATGGCGCTGTGCCTCATTTGGATCACGCTATCATCTGGTTTTTTAATTTTATAAGTAGTGTTTCTGTAATGGGTTTTATGTACTCGAATTGTAATTGTACTCCATTTGTAATGAATTGTACATATGGTCCTTCGAGCCGGATTAGTGACCTTGTGATATAAGGATTCACTATAGTGTGCGACTGAGTGGGCATTGACGTGGTGGCGGTTTGCCATCGATGGTAGTAGTGAATAAAATTGCAATAAATTTAGATGTTATTTCATAGATTAACTGAAGTTTAAATTACACTATTAATATTATTTCTTCCTTGTAATATACAAAGGAAGAAAGATATAATATATAAGTTAGAACCTTAGTTTTTTTAGAGCTTTAATTAAGTATTCATTTAGTTAATATCATTTATTCTGCTGACATCATGTAGGAAGCATTAAGCTGTCGATTTCATATGTATGAAATCTACAAATACTATAAGATTAACTATTTTGTATAGAATTGTACTACATGAATACGGTATTATAATATATGTATTCTATTTTCAGTTACTAGAGTTGCCGTTCGGTGATTGGGAGCTATTCAAGATGCTCATATTGAATCTACGAGAGCTTGAAGCTAGTATGCCGATACACACGCCGGCCGTCACCGGTGAGTTCAATACTTAAATAAATAATATATCATTATAAAATACAATTAACTTTTCATTAATTATATTGAAAATGTTATATTGAAAATATTTTTGCGTCGGCCTCCAGACCAGACATATTTCTATATTCGCGTATTTTAAAGCGCGTTGTGATGATAGAGCTTACGGTGCCTTGGGAAACCAACATCCCCAAAGACCATACCATCAAGGTCAATAGGTATTACGAGCTCACTAACGAACTAACTCGAAGTAGGTTCGTCGTTGATTTGTACGCGGTATAGGTGGGAGCGAGAGGTATAACAGCTAAATCTCTCTATAACCTACTAAAAGTTTGGCCTGTCCAGAACTAACATTAATTCATTTTTGGAACGTACGTCGAAGGCAGCCCTAGTAGGTTCTTTTCAAATTTGGTTAGGTAGAGAGAGGAGCTTGGACAGTGGAGATGAGCGTATAACGCGCGTTAGATAGGGGCCCCTTAAACCTACACCTGGGTCGCAAGTCCCAGGCACTGTTGAAGCTCCTCCCCCTGCAACGCGATGGACCCGGCACCCGCACGGTGAATCCATTGAATGCTAAGAGGTTTCGTCTCTTTCATTTCAGTCATACAGGAGAAGCCAGTTGACGCGGAAATAGATTTAAAACAACGACCGCCCCTCGAACACCAAAGAAGTCGGCCTACTAACGTTGAGAAACAGGTTAGTATACACATATTATTTGAAAATAAAGGAACGATTTATATAAATATACTAGAAGACCCGGCGAACTTCGTATCTCCCTATAATCAAGAAATATCTGTTACGTTTTTTAATTTATATTTTTGGAGTTTACCTATTAAAGCCAGAAATCTCCGTGTTTTGAAGTGCGACAGAATGATTGACATATTAGTTAGTTGTCAAATCTAATGTCAAAAAAAAACGTTTGTATCAACAACTACTAATAAATTAAAAATTAATTTAAAAAAAATTGTGAATCTTAACCATTCCCAGATCCCCTTGAACACACAAAAAAAATTCATCAAAATCGGTCCAGTCGTTTGAGAGAAGTTCAGTGACATACACACTCACAGAAGAATTATATATATAAAGATTATTAACGTACAATTTATTATTGCAGCCTTATGCGGAATATCAGGTACAAATAGGTTTATATTTGTATGTTGAAACGATAGCGATACAATTAGTTTTAGATACATTAGTATTCAAAATTAACCACATGCCAACATGTATTGTATGCACTTAATATTAGAAACCATTTTTGCTTGCAAGATTAATAAAACTATAGCACGTTATAGTATAATGTAAAATTAGTGTAGAATATTGTGAAAAGAGTAAGTGTTATATTCATGTGATATTTGGATTAACATTAGATACTACACTGATTTTGTCTTGTTGAATGCATTTAGGAACATAAACCAATATTTAAATTGTGGTCTTTACTACTTAGTACACTTGAATATCTCTTCTAAGGGAAAAATAAGGTTTAAAGAAATATTCTTAAAATATTATACATTTTCATCCAAACTAAAGAGAGTAGGACATCATATCTGATCAGATCATCCCCATAGTTTGAAGAAACTAGATGTCGTATTTCGTATTTTCTTATATATTTAAAGAAATGTGCAATTTAGAAGTAAAAACAGAAGTAATTAATATGGCAACAGAGGTATTACTACAATATAGATACATACTTTGAAATACATATAGGTCGAGTTTTTACAACATAGAAAATCATCTTTTCATAGTAAATTACCGCGATTTCATAAGGTTTTTAAAAACATTACATCTATGTAGTTTTACTTTCTCTTCCGATTAAACAAACCGGTTTCATTAAAGCCTATAATTAGCGTATATAATCGTAAATATACCCATTAATCAATTATTCAACTAATTGCTGTTAATCATTCACTCTGAAAGTTGAAAATTTTCTTGAGTGATATGAATCTTCAGTCTTCATTTATCGAACATCCAAATATGGTCATATATAATTTTATATTAATTTTCTTCATGTTCAGGTAACTCTTGAGGAACAGATGATCTGTGGAGCGCTGCAGACCCTCAACGAAGAGGCCATGGAAGACCTGCTGCAGTCGGAGCCCACAGGTGAGGCTCCATCCTTGTCCCCCTCCCCCTCTCCCTCCCGCAGCCCGTCCCCCTCCCCCTCGGAGGCCGAGCCCCGCGCGCCACACGTGGTCGTCAATCTGTCCGACGATGTCTTCCTATAATATCGTGCCCCCTCTCGAATATATCGTCTAATAGTTTAAGTCAATTGTTTTTGTAACATATTTATTGTATACAATACGCGTTGTAGAGATGTTCCTATTTTAAATTTCTGTATATTTATCGTGTACTTATTTTATATTAGAATTTTTGAAGCACTTTAATTTTTGCTGCTGTAAGGGCCGAGTACTTGTGATGTTGTCAATGAAAATGTCTGTTTTGTCAGAATATACATAGGATGGGAACTTAATTTTCTAGATCTCAGTTCGCCGATCATAAACTTAATTATTCATTTTATTATATAAGTTTATTTGTTATTATACACTTTTATGTTAAGCATTGCTCATAATCTTTCTGTGCATCTATTTTGCACGTTCATTTGGTATATTTTATTATGTTGCTACTATACACATGTAAATGTATTAAGACTTAAGTGTCACACATAAGCTTAGTGAAAGACGTTAAATTAATTTTGTTTTGTTAAGTAGATTTTGGTCATTCCTATTTATTTGCGTTATTATAGTTAGTAAATATGTTTGGCTGTGTCCAGTCCTTCCGGTTGTGAAATGTGGAAACCTTAATTAAAATTAAGATATTTCATTGTTAGTGCCATTTTTGATAAATTTTACATCCCCCTTACCTTGTTCGTTGATGTAATATTATTAACACAAGGTATCGTGTATTTGCCTTTTCGATTTTATATGGAAGTGATATTTATTGAAGGTATTTAAATTTTTTGAAATATCCCAATGTTATTTTAAGTTTAACTCGTAAGTTGTAACAGTCTGAATATCGCTATGTTACATGGACGGTCCACACCCGTCTTAACATATCATGTTCAATAACTAAGTAGATCGACTCAGTTACTGTAGTGATAGATCTTATTAGAGAAATCATATCAGTGGATATATATAACTCATAAAATGTAGTGTGAGATATCTTTCACGATTCCAATTTTGAAACCATTCCGAGGAATTTATAATCCTGTTTTAATGTTAATAAAAATTTACAATAATGAAAGGTAGTTTTATTTTTGGTCCTCATCGTATAATCGAGAGGGGTCGCGGCCGCCTCGACCGGAGCTCATGAGGGTGTTGTTACAGCCGGGGCTCAACCGACCGCGGAGCGCACGCCCGCTGTCAGCTTCCGCGTGGAGAGTGACGACGACGGACACGTGTCGTTCACGTGTCGTCCGCGGTCCCGCCGGCCGCCGCGCGCCCGGCCTTCCTCGCTGCGCCTGGCCGACGAGCCCACGCCGCGCCTGGCCGCACGGTCCCTCTCCGTGGAGGACTCCCGCACCGGCCCCTCGGCCCTGCGTCACGTCAGCTCGGCCGAGCGCCTCACTCGCCTCAAGGACGAGATCATGTCCCGCGACAGAAGCCCGCCTCTAGTCGACGGGCCCGCGAGTGACGACGAATCAGCGCCGCTGGTGTCCTCACCCCCGTCCACACCGGCTGCTCCCTCGACCGCGTCCCCGCCGGCCGGCTCACCGTCACCGTCACGCACGGAGCCGGTAGGCGCGCGCTCCTTGAACGTGGATTGCGTGGACCGCAGCTCGCAGGAGATGACGGCCAGCACGGACTTCTCGCCCCGGTCGGACCTCACGGAGGCGGAGTCTCTGCGGGGCAGCGCGGGCGACCTGGAGCTGCTGCCGGGCGGCAGGAGTATGAACGGCCCGTCCCGCCGCGGACTGACTCGCAGCGGGAGTGACGCGTCTCTGTCACTGTCCATGGAACCCTACAACATGCGGGTGTTGTCGCGCGGCGTCACGGACGGCTCCCGGGGTCTGTGGCGGCAGGACGCGCTGGACTCCATAGAGAGTGCGCCCCCCTGGCCTCACGAACCTGACTCCGCGGTATGATTGGAACAAAACAGGACATATGGTGCTACAGTCCTTGCTCCTGGAACGACCCTCGCCGGAAGCGTGCTCAAGAAGTTGAGAAGAATAGACGGCGATGTTAAACATATGTATCACATGTAGCTTGTTACATAGAAATTCTGTTAACTGATTTACGATTCGGAAGAATCTGTTTGTATAGCATACGATCCGAGTACTTCATGATACTTATTGGCACGTACTTAAACTCTGCTTCTTATTTTTAACGCACTATTTGCAGTAATTAATGTTGTATTTTGAATAATATATAAGTCCTCGTAGATTGAAAATGATTTATATTTGTTTTTCTTTCCTCTTATGAACTTAATGAAGTGTTATTACTTAATAATAAATTTCAACCTATTAAAAGAGAAAATAAAATAAAATATTTTTGTTTACTATAAATTATATTACCAACAAATTTAAAAGTATATATTAGAGATCACAAACTATAATACAAAACATGTATTTAATTTGATTGCAACTACGTTTCTACCTTGACGATTAACATTTTTCATTTATGACATATCATGCTTTGAACCATTTCTTGGCAGCGAAGAATTTATAGACGCTGACGAATTCAAACGATCTTTGACGTCGCACTTATTAAATCCCTGTAGTCAGTCGATGATCGCCAAAACATAATGACAAATGTTAATTATATATATTTTTAACATTAACAGTATTGACAAATATTTGACAATATATGGCATTATCTGGAAGTAACGACAAAGCAAGCTATCCAATGAAGTACATAAAAAGATTAAGCATCGATTACTACAGTTTTTAACTATTTAACAATTACCGCAGGTTTGACATAAAACTATGAGTAATTATTATTTTAAAAAAATTAACTCAATCACGTAATAAATAAATGTACATTGATATTCGGAACCTTTAGATGTAAAATTCTTAAGTCTGTACAACGCTGAAACGTGATAGAGAAAAAAAAATGTAAAAAACAATCTAAAAAAATATATGAGAATTTATCACACAACAAACGATCATATGAGACGGGGAACGATAACATTTCACTATTCAAGTATCACACATTAAATGACTCTTATGTTGGTGACGTCGATGGCGGGGTCGAGTCGCTTGTCGGGCGGGTCTGGGAGGCGGCGGTTGTCATCTTCAAGTTGACCCGTGGCATCATCTGCTTCGACTGCATCGCTCACGTCGCCCAAGTCGCCCACGTCCTGATCGGTGGGCGCCGTGAGCGCGCTCCACCAGCCCGATAACGCTCCGCGGGCATGTGACAGCGCCCCGCCCACGGCCCGCGACGTGCTCGCCACAGCCCTGCCCGTACTCGCCACCGCCGCCGTCACCTTACGACCGCCCTCCGTAGTCGACATTGTACTGAAATAGTTATAACACAATAACAGTTAATATATAGAATTAAATATGAACTGATAAACATCAGTCCTTTATTAAGAATAAAAGATTTCTGGTTATGTACTCTGGTGTTATAAATATTAAATGCCCATTCCGTCACTTGCCCATTTAGACAACTACTTTGTCTGGAACAAAACAAGCAATTTCCAAAAATATTACCACGAAATCGAGACAATTTAAGATAAGATAAAGTATATTTATCTACTTAATATACTTTATTGTACACCGAAACAAAAAAATACAAGAAGCAACACAACAAAATAGAAAACACGGTACAAGAGGCGGTCTTATCGCTAAAGGAGCGATCTCTTCCAGACAACCTTTGGATAGAGGACATTGAATACTCTAAGAAAGGGGTTCGGAAAAAGGGGTACCTTTTAGGTAAACATTACATATCTACATAACATACATACAAACGATTAATACATGTTATATATAACATATAAATACGTGTATAAACAAAATAATACATATGTTTTATAAATAAACTCAAATACATAAAAATACATATTTTAAATATTATTATATTTCATAAATAAAAGTACAACGATTTACAATGACAAAAAATAGTGTTTTAGAAGCCTCTTAAAAGCAGCAACGGATTTTGTACGTCTTATATTTATGGGCAAGGAGTTCCACAAGCGTACTGCTTGGACAGAGAAGGATTCAGTAAAAAATGGAAGAAGTAGGGTCATTTCGGGTAAGATCGTCTGGAGGGTAAGATTGTCTAACACGAATAACTACTAATTCAGTAGAGCTACAAAAATGGGAAAATATTAGGGGCACAATAAATCCATTTAAGTTCATATTAATTTACAAAGATATCGCTATACTTAGTATGAACGGAAAAAAACGTCGTTGTTATTTCAGTACGCTAAAGCACTTGCATCGGAAGTGCACCACGTTGGTAAAAAAAGGTATTTATTTTGAAATATCAGTTATTTGGAGGATCTATGCAAGTAATTTTATTCTTCTATGATATATCTATGTGATAGTAAATTACATTAGTAAAATATACGTTTTTTACTAAGTTATAGTTGATCAAATTAAAAGCTAATCTCAAAATAGGCCGTGGCGAAGTCCGTCTAGGCCATGGAGGGTAATGAATGTCATATGCCGGTCTTTGCCACATACAGATATTATCAACATTTTTTTTAAACCTTTTTAAAATCCATATTCCAAATCAGAATTCTCACGATTGATTGGACAGCTTTGGTCTGGAATAGATGTCCAAGTGTTGCGAAATGGTTTCAGAAAATCTGGTATTTTACCTAGTAAACCGTGATGAAATAAATAAAGACAAATTTGATATGTTCAAACTAATACAATGGAATGAGTTATTTCTGCAGCAGAGAAATAAGGAACATATTTTAACAGAAGAGCAACAAGACACTGGACGAAATCCAAAATCTTTAGTGTCAATTTTACTTGATTTTTTTAATATAAAGTTGAAGCCAGATAGTGCAGATGAATTCAATAGTCGCAACACACCGCCAGAAATATCTGTGCAGAACCATATTCTTACCTTTGAAACCGAGATTGGTGAAAACGTGATTTCAGTAGAACCGAAAATTAACAATGAATCGTTATTAGACAATTCTACTTATTAGTTATTATTAATTGTTTACAACGCCTGAATGACGCTCTTCACCGACGAATGTAGAATCTAGCCAAATGAGTGAAATAAAATGTTATTTCTGCGAGTTAGGGCGCAAATATGAAGTTGTTATATAAAATGGCATTCGCACACATATTCATTTACACGGGCATTGACATCTATCACTACGCTAGCTACCGCTAACTAGAGAATTTTGCCAGTAGACGGTCTTAGCCAACATGGGTTCCAAATCCGTCTTATTTCACTATTTAAAACAAAAATTGTTTATTTTCTGAACCAATGCTTAAATTGTCATTTTGAAACATGCTATCATTTAGTTGAACCATATTTGGAATGAAGGTTATAGAATCGCCAAACTAAGACCATTTGTATTTTTTTTTAATTTTATATGCCGGTCTTCCCCGAACTGACCCTATTAGAAGGAGTTTTAAGAGAAAGGTAATTTACCGACCAACTTCAACCAATTTATTTAACTGACAAATAACACGACGATCACGAGTTATCTGTTGCAGATAATCATTTTCAAACTTACTGCGCTAATTTTAATTTCATGTCAGCAACAGATAATTGTCCAGAAAACGGATGCATAGGAGTCAGGTTCATAAAAGGTTCTATGTTGGCATTGTTTGTGGCTTTCAGCCATTTGTCGTAGGCTGGTGTCGCTTTGAAGGCTGTCATGAACTGAGCATTATAAGATTCTATCTCTCGGCTCCCTTCTGCAAATAAATAAATAACTTATTAGCTCTTAAAAAGTAAAAAAATGTTTTACTTAATTACTCCCAAATAAATTATAACATCCGAAATATTTTAGTGAAGCCTCACATATTGGGAATGTTTAAAAAAAAATGGTTTATTTAAAAATAAAAAACATTCCTTTATATTAAACTGTACACATAATACAATACTCAAACTACTACTTACTACTGACATAAATCAAAATGAATAAAACAATTTAATTTATTACCTGGTAATAAAGAAGTTCGTAATAAGTATATTAAATAACTAGCAAATTGATCCCGTATCCACGTGTCACCCTGGGAGGAGGCGTGGCGGACCACGTGATCCGCAAATCTAAGATCTTCAGTACTGAGAACCAGCTGACGTCTTAAGCTCATGTCAGCTGTTTCTATCCTCATCTCGTTCAACTCGACCAAAACATCAAATAGCTGCCTCTTCTGTTTAAAAAGAACATTCGAAGCACCAACCACGAAACCCTTCACAGATGTGTCTGATAGCAGATCCAAATATTGGAGTGACAAGTACGGTAAACATATGTAGCCATCCTCAAACAAGCTCAAGGGAAAACCACATTCAGTTTGGTCTAATTGTCCCGTCAGATTGTACAGGCCATCAACACTCATGTCTCTAGCCATTGTAGGGCTTTGCTGTGCTTCAGACATTGGTTTCTGTACTTTATATTTTTCTCCTATGCTGTGACATTTCTCCCTCCCAGCAGACAGTTCTTGTCTATCAACAACATCAGATAGGATAGATTCATCAAAACTTTGACGGCTGACTCTGTCCTTTTCCTCAAACAAATTTCCAGTTTCTTTTGGAGACAGTTCATCATCTGGCTGATTTGTCCCATTTAATGCCTCCTCAATAACATCTAATGCGCCATCAATGCTGTCTTCTGTAATTTTTTCTTCTGGTATCACTGTAGGTATTGGTGAAAGTGGTCGGGATAAACTGAAATATTAAAAGTAATGATCATCAATTTAATAGATTTTTAAAATATAGTCTATCGGGAAATTTAAGTCACATATGTTTGCTTTAAGAGATCAAAGTGGTATTGGGCTTATAATCTGATATCATAACAGAGAAATATTGCTATGTCAAATTATACCAATGACAAATTCAATACTACTGATAGTATACTTTAAATGCTTAAGTAGTAACTCATTACTTAGACAGTTAATAGATGTCAGCCAAAAAAAATTGACTAGTTATATATATCATTACAACTTTAATGATCAAGAATCACAAACCTGTTTTATAACAATAACTTTTGGCTAAAAATATAATTAAACTTACACAACATTAGCAGATTTAGACAATCCATATTCCAGACATTGTGGTAAAAGAGAGACAAGTGTTAACAATGCAGCTGACAGTGAACCAGCCGGAGATCCATAAATAAGAACCTTCTGACGTAACAGTAACAGTTTAAACAACAACAAGGCTTTATGTCTCCAGTTTTCCACTAACCTCTGCACTGATAAACCTGAGAATGTAAGGATGAGATTACAATAACTTAAAAGAATAATAATAGTTAATAAATGCAACTGTATTCAAAAATGTACCTTCAAGAGTCTGATCAATTTGTACAGGACAACTATTAAGATGTTTAAAAGCATCTTCTAAGAGCTTGGTCTGGGAAAAGTCACCCTGGAGGAACCAAGCTCTCACCACCAGTTCCATCTTTACAGACAGACGACCAAACAATGGAGCTCGGCAAATAACACAGACACTCTTTTGGACAGAACTTCTTGTCATATCTTCTGTTTTCTGAGCAACTTGCTAGAATATTACAAACATTGTAATATTATTTAAAATATTTTAATTTACACTGAGTTTTTGTAAATGAAAAAAATAAGATTGTTGAGCTTATATTGGACTTCTTCTTTGACGAACTAAAATTAATGTAAATGTCGGATCGCCGAGTCCATTAGGGTCTTGTAATTCACTCTTATTTGATATCTAACCACTAACACTTCACAAAACACTTCACAACACTTTAAAGTCACTTCACTTCACTTTACTTCACTTCTTGCTTTTTGATTAACACATGAAATCGAGCCACGCGGATTTCCGAGGGTGCGTCCAACACTACGTCCAAATGAGCACTGCCCCTTGCAGTGTGACTGCTGCAGTTTATATGCTTGCTCACTACTATGAAGTTGGCGCCTCTCGCAACCCCACTCGACAATCTAACTGACGTTAGCGTCGGCTCTTTATAATAAATTGAGTTACTTTTTAAATTACGTTCACAATATTAATCAACTAAATACAATCAAACAAATTAAAAGAAATAAGGAATACACTTAAAAACTTAAAATAATCTTAATCAAACAAACAAACAGCTTTCACAAAATTACATAGTTCAAACGACATATCGTCAATGTATTGTCAAATGAATTGAGTATCTTCTCTTCAAATTCTTAACCTTTATCAACCAAATATAATCACTCAAATAAACGAAAACATTTAAATACAAACATGAAAGAAATGAAACCAAAATATCAACTAGTTTTCCCAAAATAAGGCACTTTACACAACGTATTGTGCATACTCCGTCACGGCCATCCTGCAATATCACACGTCCTCGTGTGTCTCATCAGAAACTAAAATCAAATAATTATGGTATTCTTTAACGCTCGGCTATTCTGACTTAACTAATATTTTTTTTTTTTTTTTTTTTTTATAAAGACTAAACATTATATCATCTAACTCAACACGAACTAATTATCGTTTATATGATAAAAAAAAAATCACAGTACAAAGATTTTAACAAAGACTTTACATACGGGTTCGACAATATATAATCCACACAGATCTTTGTCAAGTTCACACAGATGCTTGACAATATATAATCCACACAGATCTTTGTCAAGTTCACACAGATGCTTGACAAGATGTATACCACACAGATCTTTGCCAAGTTCACACAGATGCTTGACAAGATGTATACCACACAGATCTTTGCCAAGTTCACACAGATGCTTGACAAGATGTATACCACACAGATCTTTGCCAAGTTCACACAGATGCTTGACAAGATGTATACCACACAGATCTTTGCCAAGTTCACACAGATGCTTGACAAGATGTATACCACACACATCTTTGCCAAGTTCACACAGATGCTTGACAAGATGTATACCACACAGATCTTTGCCAAGTTCACACAGATGCTTGACAAGATGTATACCACACAGATCTTTGCCAAGTTCACACAGATGCTTGACAAGATGTATACCACACAGATCTTTGCCAAGTTCACACAGATGCTTGACAAGATGTATACCACACAGATCTTTGCCAAGTTCACACAGATGCTTGACAAGATGTATACCACACAGATCTTTGCCAAGTTCACACAGATCCTTGACAAGATATATCACACAGATCTTTGCCAAGTTCACACAGATCCTTGACAAGATATATCACACAGATCTTTGTCAAGTTCACACAGATGCTTGACAAGATGTATATCACACAGATCTTTGCCAAGTTCACACAGATCCTTGACAAGATATATCACACAGATCTTTGCCAAGTTCACACAGATCCTTGACAAGATGTATACCACACAGATCTTTGTCAAGTTCACACAGATCCTTGACAAGATATATCACACAGATCTTTGCCAAGTTCACACAGATCCTTGACAAGATGTATACCACACAGGACTAGAAAAAGGAGAACAGCTTTCACGTATGACTCCGGCATTTAGGGGATCACGAATTTTTTTTTTCTCTTACAACCATTCGTTCATCTATGCTTAATCTATAGGGACGACGTTGAACAGTGCGACTTGGATCAATTAATTTTATTTCTAATTGGCCTGATGTAACTCTACTTATGGGGACACCTTCAACAAAATACTTTGAATACTCTAGAGCATATAAGAAGGGACGACCTCTCAGATGTCGATGATATCAACAGGCAAAGGAGAGCATAACCATACGCGCGAACATGATATCACGAAGATTCAGACTATGCACTGATGAGGTGAAATCTATATTATTTCGTACCTATTATATGTGTCTCTATACAGCCGAATTGTGGTTCAAATACACACAAAGTGCCATTAACGCTATGCGGGTGGGATATAATAACACGTTTCGATTACTGTTCGGACTACCACGATACTGTAGCGCGTCAGAAATGTTCATTGAAAGGAAAGTACACTGATGCGTGTAAGAATTGCGAGCACCTGGAAGAGATATACTCAAACCAATAACTCATTGGTTAAGGCTTGCTCGAGCATTAATGCAGGATACCTGCTGAAGCACTGGTCCAAAACACACACACACACACTATCAAGGGGTATGCCAACGGCTACTGTGTGGTCAAAGCTCGTACTCATAATATTAATATCAATTCAAGGCCCCTGTCCTAGCCTTCAAGTTCCCATCTGTCCACCTGCAGTGTATCAAATTCACCAAATAATAAGTGTCTGCAAAACCGGAACATGGCTCCGGAAACAAAGTGATTCATTATTACTACCATTACTCCTCCCACATATCTCCCCAATCGATTACACAACGATAAATAGCCGCTTCAGAAATTGCATTAAAAGTGCAAAAACACAACCCGGAGCCGATACTGGGTCCGATCATAATCCAGTCAAAACCACTCCAGCATGTACCCTTAAGAAAATAAGGAACAAGTCACAAAACGTTACGGTCGACATAAACAAACTAAAAGGTGCCAACATTAAGAATAAAGTGGCGAAGGAAATAAATGACCGGGCACGGAGTGCGAAATCACAGGCAATCATTTCACCCGAAGACATCCGGAACACTTCAAAAACCAAAGTACTGGAAATTAATAGACTGCACCCAAAGCCCGACTGGACTCCCAAACACAGTTGGACGACAGAAAAAAAATCCACAAACTAAGGGAAGAGCGCAAACCCCGCAAATACACTGATACAACCAAATACAGAGAACCCCACAGAGCAGCACGAAGAGAAGCGTGCCTCGCTCGTAATGTCTGGTACCGGCACAAGTGTGAACATCTAGAATCCCTCTATAACAAACATGACGCATTTAATTTATATAAAGTAATAAAGACCTTTCTAGGTAGTAAAAAGTTCACAAACCATAACGTGGATGAACAAAATGTACCAATCATGGTTATATACAGGAAGAAACAGGTTTGGAAGCAATATATTACATCCATGTTTGGTGACGATACACGGAGTGAATATGTACCTTATGCCGCGAACGATGGATACTCCATTTTACCAGAGGAAATAGAGAAGGCTCTAGGTAAAGCCAAGACTGGAAAAATCACATGGACCAGATAATATCCACACATCATCGACGTTCTCGTTAAATTTATGAATGACATCTACGATTCTGGTCGGCTACCTCAAAACTGGCTGTCGTCAACTTTTGTCACTCTTCCAAAGAAAACAAACGCGAGAAGATGTTCTAGTGTTAGAACTAGAGAAGCTCTTTTTGCAGTACTTTAGTATAGAACTGCAGAGATATGCAGCAAGACGTTTTTCTTTGCTTCATCGATTACGAAAAAGTGTTTGATCGAGTACAGCATGACCGTCTTGTAGACCTTTTACATAGCACCGGATTAGACAGCAAAGATATTCGAATAATACAGATTCTGTACTGGAATCAAAGAGCAAATGTTCGGGTTGAAAATGAGGAAGCGGAAGATGTTGATGTAAAGAGGGGTGTTTGGCAGGGCTGTGTCTTATCAACCTTGCTGATTAATGAATACTCGGAGGCAATAATGACTGAATCACTGCACGATCTAGATTGCAGAGTTAAAATCAATGGACGCAATATTAACAACCTGAGATACGCAGATGACACAGTACTTATAGCATCGTCACTTAAGGATCTGCAGCAGGTTCTTAACCGAGTAAATGATTGCAGCGAGAAAGCAGGCCTCAAAATAAACATCGGTAAAACGAAGCTCATGATTGGATCTAAAGGCGAAGTGAGTGATGACAAATTAACCGTGGCTGGCCAAAATCTGGAGCGGGTGCGCAAATGTAAATATTTGGGTACGTGGCTAAAGGAAAATTGGGACAATGATTTAGAAATCAGGACACGTATCGAAATAGCCCGTAACACCTTTAAGAAGATGCAAACAATTCTTTGCTATCGCAACCTTAAATTGCATTTGCGTATCCGTCTTCTTAAATGTTACATCTGACTCATCCTTCTTTACGGATGTGAGACCGTCAAGATGAGGAAAGTTGCTTATCTCGGACATGTGTTTAGGCATGAGAGATACGAACTCCTCTAAATCATTATGATGGGAAAAGTCGCCGGTAGAAGAGGTAGAAGAAAGTCATGGCTACGAAACATCAGAGAGTGGACATCTTTTCCACCTCGCAAGAGACAGAAAAAAAAAAGTATGCGGAGCTGACAGCCAACCTTCGCTAGTCAAAGAGGCACCTTAAGAAGAAGAGGAAGATATATCTCCCTAACAATATTCCCGTCACATGGGTCAGTGACCAAGTGTTTCTGAAAGAGTCAGTTATTATTAATATTAAACTATTATTACCTATACCTTTCAAAACGACAGTATTGTGATATCGTTTACCAGAAAAATTTTGTGCTATGCTTTCTTTGATAAGAGTGCACTGAGCACCGCGATCAAAATAAAAAGGAAATCTCTCACCCAAATTATAAAGGTCTCCTGAAGCAGGACTGACGGTGCAGATATCTACCCGCCGTTCGGTCGGATCTGGTTGTTCAACAGTTTTCCCAGATTTAGTTGAACACGTAGGCGCTATGTGCCCCGGTTGTCCACATCGGTAACATTTGGCAGTCCTCTGTGGCGGTACTCTTCGTTGCATCATCTTTGGGCGCCCTCCAATTTAAGCATGTAACGATGTTGTAAATGAAAAAAAAAGTTTCCTCCATTTGCCGTGTTCGGATTGGAGAATTGGACTCCAACTTCGAGTGTGCGTATCTGGGTGATTCCCAACTTCTGATGTCGGATCGCCGAGTCCATTAGGGTCTTGTAATTCACTCTTATTTGATATCTAACCACTAACACTTCACAAAACACTTCACAACACTTTAAAGTCACTTCACTTCACTTTACTTCACTTCTTGCTTTTTGATTAACACATGAAATCGAGCCACGCGGATTTCCGAGGGTGCGTCCAACACTACGTCCAAATGAGCACTGCCCCTTGCAGTGTGACTGCTGCAGTTTATATGCTTGCTCACTACTATGAAGTTGGCGCCTCTCGCAACCCCACTCGACAATCTAACTGACGTTAGCGTCGGCTCTTTATAATAAATTGAGTTACTTTTTAAATTACGTTCACAATATTAATCAACTAAATACAATCAAACAAATTAAAAGAAATAAGGAATACACTTAAAAACTTAAAATAATCTTAATCAAACAAACAAACAGCTTTCACAAAATTACATAGTTCAAACGACATATCGTCAATGTATTGTCAAATGAATTGAGTATCTTCTCTTCAAATTCTTAACCTTTATCAACCAAATATAATCACTCAAATAAACGAAAACATTTAAATACAAACATGAAAGAAATGAAACCAAAATATCAACTAGTTTTCCCAAAATAAGGCACTTTACACAACGTATTGTGCATACTCCGTCATAAATATAAGTTTTGTAGAAAGAAAATGAAGATTTATCAAACCATTTTAAAGTGATTATTGATTAATGCTTTATTTTAGATTAAATTTTATTATTGCATTCTCAAAAACCCACAAAGAACACATTTTAAGTTTAAAAATTAAAAGTAAAAGAGCAAACAAATTCATAACACAATAAATTTTTATATTTTTAAATGTTTTCCGGAATTAGTATAATAAATAAAATTTAAAACACAAACCTCTATGGGAATTTGTCGAAAACATGATATACCATAAACAGTGTGAGCAGGTTCAGTCAATCCGGGTAAACTGAAAAATATTGTGTCCGATAAGTAGTTATGTGAGCCATCTGGTAGAGCTAAAGCTGGAAGATAACGCCATGCTGCTGGCAATTCAGATGGATGACCAGGAATTAACTCTGGATAACAATGTTCCACCTGGAAAGAAATTGTTTCAGTAAAGTCTGATTGCTAAACATAATTAATTGAATATTATTTTTTGTATAAAGTTTTCATTAAACTTATCTTTATAAACAATTCCGTAGGGCAAGGAAAAGCTTAATTTTACTTTAAGAAAATCTGTGAGTCAAATTGATAAAGCGAAGGTCTAAGCTTAAGTTACGATAAGTATCGATTGGAAGCAATGACGCCTACCTGGCAACCTTTTTTATGATGGAAACCAACCACTATAATGTTTAAGACTGGTTCATTGATATACGACATGTTTCCTAAGAAGTCATTTCATTAATAATGTACTCATATTTAATTTTTACGTTCTTTTTTTATTTTTTAACAATTGCACTCTAGAAGTTTGACTGTGAACATTGCAAAGTTGCTTACTATTGCTGACATTGACAGATGAAGTGTCATTAACTGTAGATTATTACTAAAATTCCTTTACGCTTAATAGTTTTTACATACTAATTTAATAATATTTCAGATAAACAAAAACTAGTACAATATTTTATTTCAGATTCGATAAGTTTATTGAGTTCAATATTATAGCAAAAATTAAATAGAAAACATATAAAGTGGCTACCTAAAAATAAATGAAATCTTTGAGAAAAAATCCGTTAAAATAAAAATATTCATGAATATGTAATTTATTAGCATACACTCAGAGTTAATGAGAGATTGTTGGTTGTTATAGACTTTGACTCTTTTTTCATTAATAAATATTACGCGCATTTTAAATAAAATTATTTGTAAAATCCTTCAAAAATTAGATTATTAAATAGAACTTTGTTGTACATAAAATATAATAATACATCTTTATACCAAATTTCAATAATAGAGTTGGCGTAACATAAAAGTAAAAAGAATTTTTCTGTGCTTTTAAAATAACTCGAATTATTAACATATCTAAAAAAGTATTCTTGTTTATACATTATATAATCTGTTTGAAATTAATCTATAATCTTACGTGTTGACTCTGTGTCGTTGTTGCAAATTTTTAATTTGCATTTGATTTGTGACTTCAATCAAATGTCTGTTTGTTATAAAACAGTGATTTTCTTTTATTACTATTGACATTGGACTCCTATAAAAGCGGTTTTAGTAAAACCTTTAATGTTATTATTAAAGTTAGCTATTTAATAGTTATTAGCCAACTATTTTTGTTTACAAATTACCCATGCGTCGCCATTTTCGTACTTATTGCACTTGCAGTGACATTATATTGGCTCTTGGGTCAAATACAAACCTACATTGTGATTTGTGATAGCGATAATTCGGTCGAAATCAAACTTTTACGTAGTGGTTAGTGAAATAATTTGGATACTATTTCGTAGACTAGGTAAGTGTTACTTTGAATTTGTTTTGATGATGAAAGTTTTGAAGTTTACTTTGAAGTTCAGTTATTTTTATACGTCTATTACACTACCGTTAATGGTATAGAGAGGATAAATAGTGACACGTTATGGGAAGACGAGCCACGATAGTTATACAATCGTATTCATTTGACTATGAGCTTAAAATAGCTCAATACTCTTTACATCACCTTTTTAACAAATTTAGTAGTGTCTAAGTATGTTTCTTCCAATATTATTCACTGAGAATCAATTTTTTATGCTTATCTTCTATAACTAATATTATAATCTAATCACAAAACTATGTGGATACCTAAGTAAATATTAGTGGTAACTAATAAAAATAACTTATAATCTAGATTCAAAACTATAACTAGTGTAATTTCAAAACAGTTTTACAAATGATGGCTTATTTTTTTTTGTTTTCTGAATTGCTAGTGTAAATTCATTATTTCATGTTTACTTATTATTAATTCATTTCTATTTATCTTTTATTATATAGTTGAATGGGTTTGAAGTTATTTTACACTTCAATTTTCATCCATAAGTTACTGTTTGTGATATACAATATCCAATTTAAAAATTTCCAAGCGTATATATTTATCAGTTAAAAGTGTAAATGTATTAGTGATAGAAAAATTACCATTCAGAATTAATATTATAGTTAATTCAAATAAAATTAATGGATTTTTAAGTAATTTTAAAGGAAATTCTTATAAACAAAATCATAAAAAAATTATATATTAAATAAGCTAAAGAAAATTAGTACAAATATTCTAAAAACTACATAATAATACTTAAATTGACTATAGGTTTGATAAAATAATGTTTAAAGTATTTCCTTTCACAGACCAATGTGTGATACAGCTGCAACATTTAGACCCTATCTTCTCAAGGATAACCGCTTCAAAAAGAATGTCCCCAACATTATTAACTTATAAGAAAATATTGATGTTTGTTCTTAATATATCAATTTACCTTATTTTTTGCAGGATTCAATGGATAACAAATTAGAACCGTCGGCATGACTGAAAAGGTGCTATACCCAGGTGAGTCATGTCTTAAATTTTAATATTTCTAACAACAATATTAAAAAATATATAATTTTAAAATTTTAACCGGTTTGTTAGTTTAAAGAGAAGATTTTAATCAACTTCATCATCAGTCATATAAATCTTTGTTTGTGGTCTTTCGAAATGATGAGTCATCATTCTAATATGGTAACAATAATTATGTTGATAAATGTTGTACCAAATATGTATGTGGTTATTGATGTGAATGTATTTTATCATGGCCATGGTATATTTTTCAGTGTGAGGTTTTCATTTGTGGCTCAGATTTTTGATAAATATCTATTAAATATGACCTGACTGTTAAGTGAAATTATTTATTTTTGTACTCACACATTATTATTGGTCATGCTAAATTTAAAAGTACATATTATATAAGATAAAATACATCACGAAAAATAGAAGTTACGTAAACTTCGTAAACACGAAATACTGATAGGCAGATAATTCTGATCAATTAACTTGTTTTTCACCTTGCTATTAATTAGTTTTGAAATATTGTGGTTATTTAAGGGAAAAATTTAATATGTAATTTTTTTGTTTAATCAAAACATACGCCTATAGCGTATGTTTTGATTTTACAAATATGAATAACACTAATGAAACAACGCATAAAGATTGTACATAGAGAAATTGCAGAATGAAATGTTATCAAGTTACACTGACGTAAAAGTAGAATCTATAGAACCATAGTTATAGTTAATTTATTCTTTATAATTTAACACGCACATGTTATTTTATTGATCAACATTTTTCGACCCCTGCTCTGAACTGCCCTACGTTTTATTTTTTCTTATCTAAGTATGAAATAAATTATTTTAATGCAATAAGGGACAAAATGCTGTTTGGTTTTAGTTTTTAAGAACGTATTGATTTCGTCACATCCCCTTTGTAAAAATGATGTTTGTTGGCGTACAAGTATTATTATTAGATGAAACCTCATACAACAATAATACGCTACACAATAGCGTCATGAAGTCGCCACAACCGAATCAATACGGATTCTAGATTGTTCCAGGCTGACTATTGATTTATATGTACATAACTACATGGACTCTCCTTGTTCGCAGAATAACTTAAAGTGCGAAACGTATCGAGTTGCCAGCGGCTATACGCCCGCTATAGGACGTTGTAGTATTCGATAACAAAGGATTTTATAAACTTTGTTAGCTACTAATATTGTATTGTAACTCAATAGTCTCTCGTGTTCTACATATATTCAAATAATGTAACGTGCGATAATGTTCTTACAATCCAAAGAATTAATACGTAGCAAAATTTTATCTATAATATATTATTCTAATGGCATAAGTACTGTCATCACAGCGGAAGCGTTAATTATGTTAAACTGTTTAATATTCGACTTGCTCATTGACGATTGGCCATGTTGCAAAAACATGATGCAAATATATCTAACCTTTTCAATATTTTTAGGAAGCTAATGCAAAAAAGTAATTTCAAGGTTGACATTACAGCGAAATCACTATTTGAGTAAATATGTATATTTTTATTGTTTGTTAATCTTTTATAGTCTTTGACGACTATCTAAACGCCAGAAGAGATCACTCAATGATTATTACATGTAAAATTTATACTGAAAATATTGCTATGTATGCTATGTTTACCGTAGGAAGCGTTCAGAGTATGTGCATCGTTGATGCATCGTGGTTGAATCTTTACATGGGCGCGATTCGCGAGGGACGACCAAGTATGTAAGGGTATATAAGCCGCGGATCGATGTTGGAACCGACACCCCAGTACCTCTCATTCCAAATTCTATCTGTCTTTTGATTAAAGAGTTCCTTACAGTTTTTGATATCTTCATATATAACTCGTTAATCGTACTGGCTCTTGTGTATTATTAGTTTCTTCTCTTTATACATATCAAGGATATTATTATTATTGTATTTAAGTAAGATTCATTTGGTAATTTTTATTATTATTAGATAATTCTGTTAAGAGTTGTCTCTAATAATATTTAACACAACTTATCTGACCATAGATGAATTCAAGGTTACTTATATAAGTACTAAGAACGGATTACAGTTTGAATATATCATTCGTCCAAAGAAAATCTTTATTCTTTGGCATCAAGTACGGCACATGCGCACCCCTGTGACCTTGACGTACGGTGACAACTTGGGGAAGTGTTTCATTCCACTCAATAACATTAGCCACCATGATCACAAACTTATTAATCTTTTAAAAAATATTCATTTATAATAAAAACAAGTAATATTTTCCTGGGCGTACGTTATAATATTAGAATGTTAATATAAATTACCTGAGTCGATAAAAGATGCTTCAAATGAAACTAAATACATACAATATATTGTTACTGCTAAAAGAATAACGTACTGAATAAGCTGATACATTTGGTAGCATTCAAACAAAATAAAACAGATTGATTGTAGAGACTTGATTCGACTGGCTAATAAATAGTCTAAATGTGTGGAATACAGGAGGCGTCTGCTATATATACATTTGCAAATAGAAAAATACTACCTTTAGCTCATAATAGGGCCAGTGAACTGAGCTGGGCGTTCTACAAGCATAAGTGAAACCCGGCCCGCTCTCGAGGACGTTGAACCGTACATTTTGCTGCATCCGTTGCAAATACTCTTGTGCGCATCGTAGTTGCCTGCCACAAATTCTGTCGACTGTACATACTAGTTTTTCGCTGCCTACCCAAGTGAAAAAGTAGACGCTACAAAGAAATACTGGCGAGGTTGACTTAGCAATAGAAAGTTGCCGTACTAGCTAGCTCTATATAATTGACTAAGATCGCAATCAACGCTATTTCCAATTTACACATTCTGAATATAAAATAGTTTTGTCGTCAGGGGCTCTTTATTATTGTGTTTGTCGCTTATTATCGTTACTTAAATTTATATTTTTAAAGTGTTATCACAATAAATATGTTCTAGCTTTATTTAATGTAAGCTTAATAAAGATACCTCTCATTAACTCACGAATCGGGGTGATATAATAAACAAAATAAATTTAATTGATAAAAACAATCTATTTAGTTTTCGATGTCTTTTATGATGTTTTTAACAGAGCTGAGTTAATAATAACTATGACCTTATTATAGCATTCTGTATTGATTGGCGGACTGAGTTGCAACGTACGATGACTGCCAAAATGAAAGTAAACATTATTCATTCTTAAGATACGATTCATATCAATTATTTTAGTTCGATCTCATTGTACAGCTCGTGAATTATACCGTCTTCATTTTGGACTACGTTTTGCATACAACTTTGCTCGAGTCAATGCTTATTTAAAACTATATTATATTTTTATTCTCATAAATTATTTCTTTTCTGTATGGGAGTGAGATTGAATTTGGCTAGGTAAGATATTTAATTTTCGTACCAAACGATATTTATTTGTAAGAAAATTTGCTATAGTTACTAGGTAGGAGTAAACCTATACATTTTAGAATAACCTTTTACATTTTATGTAAAAACTTTATACAGTCGGGAGTTATTCATTAACAAACAAAGTGTATGCATCAAGAAAATTATTTAATTTCACTAGGGTTTTTTCTCGTATAAATGGTATTTAAAAAAAACTTGTTTAATTAGAAAAGTTATGTTAAAAACATGTTCCCTATATCGCTTGTATATTTATTTGGGGAAAATAAAATTTTTATATAAAAATGGCGATCATCTCAGAAATCAAACATCTTTAATTGGTCATAATATTTTTTAATGTTCAATTTTTCTTTTCTATTACCGTTGAGAAAAGAAAGTTGGCCATTGTGAATGTTAGATACAGTTTGCGTATGTGTGTGTTATATCATTATATGATCGACAAAGATCTATCATAGGATTGTCATTATTATGTAACATCTGAAATTCAAAAGGCAGAAGGAATATTTAATAAATATATTAATCTATCTGTTTGATTTTAACTATAAAATGAATTTTCATCTCTGTTTCTCAATGCGGTTATGTCGCGGAGGCGAACTCTTATCGACCGGAATCAACGGATCGCTATTTACAAGTAAACCCTTTTGTACCGAGTGCCGGCTTCTGACACCCCTTTTCATTTATTCACGAATCACTCCAACAGCCGTCGACGACTTACACACGTAATTGGCTATATCATATTTAATTCATATTTATTATTAACAATTAAGTTCAAGAATATTTACGTTATTTTCATCTAAGTTTAAATCCATATTAACCGGTGCGATACGAAAATTTATTTGGTATGTGGAAAACAACTTGAATCTGACGTACCCTTAGCGCGATGGTTCGTCGCCTTTCGTTCGCTAGAACAGGTTTAGCATTGCAATGCACTAGCACCATGTATGCAATAGTTTTATTTGCATTTAAATTCCGACATTAATCCCGCGTTTTAGCTACGGGAATAAAGTCTATGGGCTTTTGTGGATACGGCTTAGATAAGTGAAAAGGGAAAAGAAAAATGTTTTAGTGTCGTGTCCGGGGGAGGGGGAGCGAGTGGGTGTTTTTTGGGGTGCGGTCTTTGGTAGGAGTTGTTATATAGTGACACGATCACGTGTACATTTTGCAGCCTGTATTGATCCTGTCGCCTTTTTCTTGCTAAATGGTGTAAACCCTGCGTGATTTTAGACGATTTCCACCCCCGGTTAATGTTATCCCCACTCTTGATGTATATTTTTAATGTTAAGCAGTTCGATTCGTTACGAAAGAGAGGAAAACATTGAGTTGTGGTATTTATACAGTTTGAGGCTAATAATATTTCAGAGCAAAAATAAAATTCGTACAGGTCTTAATTAGTATGCGTATTACAATAATAATTATGTGAAGTATGTTAATTTTACTTTTCACAATGGGTGAGCGTCAGTAACGTTTTGTTAAACATGCTAACGAGTTTTCATTTTTTTCATACAGTGTGTGTGATACAGATTATATTAATATTGACAATAATTCGTCGTCATTATAATTGTTATCTGGCATGTTTCTCGGTTTAATAAAAAATATCAAACTGTCTACGTCCGTATAATACAGCAGGTGTTGACGTGGCGCTGTCCCATGCGAATTGCCGTATCGTGTCATGACATTCTACACTCGACTGAACTGTTCTGCTGTTTTGGGTGCGTGCCATTATTTCCTAGCTTTATTTTAGTTCTGTCAAACAAACCTACATCGGCAACGGCGATCGATATCGTACGGTATTATGTTAAAAATAATATCGATTAATCTAATCATTGTAATAATAATTAGAACTCGGCCGATTATATCGTCTCGGTTCGACATTCGGCACAACAATCGTCGAAGGGCTGACGTCATTGTGGAATATTTCTGTGTAAAAACTGCAATGATTATACGTGGATCGGTCGTCGGGCGAGTTAGACAAGAGGTTGGAAAGAGGCGTGAGAGTTTAGTGATGTAGAACGAGATGAGAGATTTGTATGCGTGCGCTCTATTTTGGTCGCGGTGGCTGGTGGCACACTCGACGGCTAATCGGCGCGTCACGTGGCCACCGCCGGAAGGATGGGGGGTGAGGTCTCGCGGGACGAGGAGGGGGGGGGGCCTCGGAATGCAGTCACCACCGCCCGGTGCATGCCTTGACGATTGATCGCTCGCTGTTAACTGCTTAGCTCTTACCACTATAGCGTTCACTCGATGTTAACAATAATATTATCGCTAACCCATCCTTGATACACGGTGAACAATTGAACGCCTCTAAACCTTGATTGCTTAACATGTTCTCCGTAAATGTAACTTATTCTTAATTTATTTTGATATATTACAAAATACCAATTAGGCGTATTAGTTTGTTTTGCATTTAATATCAAAAGTGTGTATTGACGGTCACATAAAATTTTACTGTTATACGTAATACAACGCTATTGGTGTAACTGCTATAAAAAAACCTTTGGAACAATATGAGCCAGGTAAGTTCAAGGATATTATGTTTTAGTTCCCACGTTATTTAGGTGTATATGAACATAGCCGATGTTTTTGTCTGTATTTTTGGCAAGATGTTTCGTATGAGCCCATGTTAGGATAAATTTATGGAGTATACAAGTAAGTAATTGCACTGAGCGGATTGCAGGCAATCGTCCCCTCACCCCTCCGTCGTCCTCCCCCGCAGCCCCCTCAGCCCCTGCTGGCCCCTCTCCCCCGGCGCCCCGCTCTCGAACACCGTAAGTAAACAGTCTGGTGTTTATCCGCGTCTCGCTCGCACCGACCGCGTTCCGTCGCGCCTCTGAGGTGCACTCGCCGTTCCTATTATTTTGGTGACGGGTATTGCGCCGAAGCCGATTCCCGCATCCTCGCCCCGAGACGCGAGGTCCGGTCTCGCGGTGGAGGCGACGTCGGCCGCCGCTCGCATCATGCTCTAGTCCACGGCCGTGATGTTGGGACCGAGTCGTGTCGACGGTGACAGTGTACTGTATTGTGGACCGGTGTGCTGATGATACACGTGAATGTTAATGTTTTGTGCTGTGGAATCGGAAGATGCATTTCAAGGAGTCGTTTACTATGAGCGATCGTCCTAATGAGCGCGGCCGCCGCAACTCTCGCTGCAAGGGTGGGTGTCCTCTGTCAGCGGGGCCGGTCGCTCTGCCGACTGCACGCCGCTACTCGCTCGACACGACTGTCGTAAACATAATACTTTAACAGCTGTCTTTCGCTCATAATGTTTATGTGTCGTTTTAATTTATAACACCACCGCTATACGCTACACGGAGCGTCCCTTGGAATCTTACTATCATGCATATTTATTTACAATTACTTTTTAAGCGAATCTGTTACAATGCATACAAAAAAAAAATATATCTTGGATAATATTCTATTCATGTTATTTTGCATTTAAACAATGGATTTAATACTTGGTTCGTGATTCTTTTTTATTTATATGTTGATTGCACTGAATCGTTGTTCACGTCTCAACGCTTTTTACCCTTATAGTGGATGGGAAGTGAGAAAAGATTTTAGTCATCCTGTGCACCAGACACCAAGGTTACGTAATCAAGTCTGGGCACTTCACACTTGGTTTGTGTGTCTATTGTAACACGTTATTGTGATTATTTAAAACTTAAACCGAAAATTTAAAAGATAAATAGGTATATATAATTATATAAAGATATTAAAATATATTATACTGTAAAAATTATATTTAACCTTGAAAAAATGTATTTATTTATACACTTAATTTTAAATAGATTTTACCATTAATATCGTTATTAGTTAAAGAATTATTCAAATAAATAGGAACGTTTCAAAAAGAAGTTTAAAAGAAATAATTTAAATCATATCGTTGGAATAATAAAAGTATTACGTTTTATCTGAAAATAAAATAAAAAGTTTAATTTTAAATTTCACTCAAGACGTACAATAAGCCAGCACACCTTAATATAGTAACAAAAACTATTTACTCGATAACCTCTAAAGCCGATTTTCCGAACGTAGCTCATGAATCATATAAAACACTTATCGTGTCTCGAGACCACTCTGTGTAAAATAAACCAGTTTTTATACATATATTTTTTTGTTTGGTTCCCACGTGACTCCACCGAACTTCTATGTATCAAGTATCAACCGATTTTCCTTTCATTTTGACGCTTTATGTGTTGTGATAAAAATATTCCGATGACTACCGCTTTGAACATTATGATATTAAGTGCCATATTACCTAATGGGGTTAAAGATTGTTTTAATATTTCTAGATTTTTTTTTGTGTTAAACAATGTGTAAACATTAGTTAAATCTTCGTGATATTAACTAAATTTTTTCTATGTTTAGAGTTACTCCAATGCCGAACAGTCATTTGGATTTCTGTATTTCATATAATTATTAATTTTATATATTTTTAGTTTTTTCTACATCTTTGTCATTTTATAGAAGGTCAATATAAGATTATTTTTAAGGTTTATTTTCAGTAATTTCGATAGACGAATAGCTTTTCGATGCATTTTTGCAAAAAATTACCAGCTTTCGCTATTACGGTAGTCTTGTGCATTTAACAAGCTTATAAGAATTTCTTCAAAAATATTGATTAAGTTTGAAATAATACTCAACAACTAATTTCATTTTTATTATCAGATTTTTTAGCAAATAGTGTCTTCTATTTTAAGTTATTTCCATCTAAATGTGTTTCTTTAATTTCTGTATTACCATACAAATGTGTTGTAGAAAAAAATTAGGAAGTTATTTAAAAATAAAACTTTTAAGCAATTGATTGACCTTGTATTTAAAAAATATAAAATTAAATATAACTTAAAATCAGTAATATTGTCTTAATAGCATTTTTAAAATTACATTTACAATTATTATAAGGAAGGAATTCATTCATGGCCCAATATTTAAATTATCCATGTCTACAAAAAATGAAAAAAATATGTAACGAAGTAGGAGTTTGTAGTAAAATTAATTACTAGTGCCTTTTATTAATAACATAATCATAGTCACCATAAAATCTAAATTATATAATATTAATAATTATAATTATTCAGCATAAAGTTCTGTTAAAATATATTTTTCAGTTTAAATCTAATTTATCGAAAACATACATGAAATTATTCATCATATTAATTTTGTGCCCACATTTATTGAGTGATCTTCCGTTAAAGAGAAATAACAAGAATTTTGTATGACGTAATCCTTACCTTTTAAAAATGTATGATTTAATTTCTGCGGTTAGAAGTTTTAAAGTTTAATAAATTAATAGTTAATACCAAAAAGAGTTGAATTTTAAATTTTCATGTATCGCAAAATAACTCATTCGTAAACAATTGTAAATTATTATGTTTCATGCTTAACTCCAAATATGACACGATATTGTCAATTGTTTGAAATTTGGTTTGTTTTTAATAAACCCAGCCTCTCGATAAACATTAGGTAATCTGACGAAAACATAATATCTCAGTCTTATAATTAAATTATTTAGGTTGATAGTTTTTTTATATTTGTAACAAGATAACGTTTTATTACATACGCCAATAAATAGTGTAATGTTATTTCTCGTTTAAATTATGAAATATTCCTAAAATAATTTAGCATTTTAGCCTAGAATAAGTTGTAAAGTTTTTAGCAATTTGGTCCTGTTCAGAATTTTGTCATTTGTCTCTTTTCTCAATAACCTTGAATATTCGAATAATATTGATGTTAATTAGTTAGACAATAGCAAACTTGTAATTTATTCAGCCGTCTTATTTATTTATTAGAAAAACAGTTGTAATACGTACTTTAATTCCTTTGTTAAAACTGTTCCATTTCTTGGACCTCTCCATCAGATATTATAAATTTAGATATTTTGTTTTTGATCCTAAGAATATAAAATTTTCTTACGTGTTGTAATCATAAATGGGAAAGAAAAGCAACAATTTAAGAAATTGAATAAAAGTTTGATGCTTCACGTGTCTTCTCCGGTATCAAAAAAGTATATTATTTGATGATAAATACTAAAAATCTAATGCAAAAAATCTACATTTTGCATTTCTGCTCAGTAAATTTGACAGCGGATTCGTAATAGGGTAAAGGCTATGCGGTAGGTGTGGGGCCAGAGGGGTAAGGGGTAGGAGAAGGGGGGAAGGGTGTTGAACAGAGGATGGAGGTGAGATCATAGTGGCGAGTGGCCCGGGGAGAGGCGATCAATATGTACATTGAACGTACATACATACCTATATAAATAACCGTACCTAACTTCTCCCAACTCACTGTCTGCTCCAGATACTGCGGCAAAACCCCTTCCAACACCCCCCACAGCCTCCCCTTGGTGTTTTAATACAATTCTTATTCGTAAACTTACTTATTGCATTCCTTTGTCACTGTCCAAGAACCAAATGGATACTCGCTAAGATATCAAATATTATCATCACCAAAATAAAAAATAAACTCATTCAAAACACATTTTCATTGGCCATAAGAAAGATGAATAAAATCGTTATTCGATCTACTTGCATCCTCTATGCTAGTCAATGCTAAAGCATTATCTATAAATGAAGATAATACCGAGAAGGATGTGACGTAGACATCGTCAAACTTAAGAGATAAGAAATTTAAATATACCTATTTAGAAAAATTAGGACAATCTGCTAATGTATAAGCAAAATTTATCGAAAGCTATAAAATTGTTGACCCTAGTTCAAAGAGATGATTAAATGTCTGATTCAACTTTCAAGTTCATGTAATATATCAAACTGCAACTTCAGTGATATACGCCCTCATATCATATAATTGTGGACGATCAGGGCAATTGTTTTCAACATATTTCTCTTGTTGCTAGGCGCTGGCGTCAAGATGGAGCATTTCCAGGCGGCGCTGGATCCTCGCAAGCAGGAGCTACTGGAGGCTCGCTTTCTAGGCGCCAAGGTCAGCAGTACATATTACTAACATAAAACCACAACACCAATCATGATTATAAAACGTATCTTAATATATATTGCTTCTCGGTCATATAAGACTTAGCTTAATCTAGTTATGAAACAAATTATACATAGCTCCATGATATTCAAATCAAGAGCCATAGATACAGTCAACGACATCGCCACTGAGTTTAGTATCAATTCTTTTGTTCTGTCGTTATTTCCTGTGTGAGTGTGTGTATGTGTGCTCTCTGTTAGATTGTTAGCTCTGTTTATCGTTAACGGAGAGACGTGCCCGCCCGTGTATCATTGGGCTACGTAGCGCACAGGCTCGCGCTTACGTGTTCAAAAGAAAATGGCCGCATCGCTACAGTCATGGAAAGACACAATACACGGCACGGTAACAAAACTCGTACATAATTAGATGATGTCACAAGCTTGTTTCGTTTTAATCGTTCGTATTACATATTTTATTATATTAAAAAATACTGGTGGGTTATCAGTATGCACGAACAACTTGTAAAGTATTATCGTTTAGCATGCCGTGGTCAATTGATTTATAATACAAGATATGCGTTTTAAGTACATATATTGAGTCTCGTTGAATGTTAACAATTCATATGTTTGGTCTACCTGAGAGCTGAGACCGTATCGTTTCCGTCCGCGATGTGTCTCACAACTCGGACGGCTTATATTAGTTATACAGCATAGAGAGCTTATACACGTATTGTGGTCTCGGCAAAGTAAGTCATGTAGATATGTAATTCCATTATGTGTCTCGCCTCCGTCCCGTCTCCCCCCGCCACCCCCGCGCTGCTGTTCCCTCCCCCGGTGGACCTATTGACGCGTCATTTTGCCGAGCCGGGGCATTGGTTTTATACGTTTTTTACTTATGGTTTATTCAAACGGTCTCGTTGATAATACGCGTTCAGTAAGTAATACCAACTAGAAACTTTAAAATTAATAACATATACCTATTTATTTGAGAGTAAATCGTACGCATTACTTTTGTATCTAGCCCGTTTCATTCCTTGTACTTTTACTAATGACCTACGTCGATGGAGGCATAAAACTAGTATTTCGTCATTCGACAACAAGATGGCGACCGTACATAAATAGATTGTCGGTAAATGTACGTTTGTGACTTATCAAGCTACAAACAGATTGGCGCTGCTCTCACTGAGCGATTCGGAATCAGAGCGTTAACTACCTACGTAATACTTTGTAAATTGTAATGGCAGTCTTACCGTCACTTGTTATAATAAAACAATATATTAATATAAATATCATCCTATTCAATACATTAGATATTAAAAACGTTGAACACATGTACCTACTCGAATATTTATTTAGGTTATGTTAATGATGACGTATCTCTGAATAGAGTTGTATGTAACACCAACCGTAGAAAATTCTCGAAATAGGCCATTCAGATATAATTATAGAGGGGTGTCTGTAAACGTTTACATGAGCGCTGATGGCGTGTTTGCAGGTGAACGCAGGGGCGATACTTGTAGAATCCCAGCGAGTCACCAAATTCAAGCCGGTGAGTTACATTATCGTGTAAGACACATTCGTTTGTATATAATATATTTATTTAAACTGTTTAAAATACGCCAAATTTAAACCGGCGCCCGCATTATACAGCTATCTGGTGCATGATGGCATACGCTAAATTTAGAATATTGTATCAGTTATTCAGTGCTATTATAATTGAACGCGGAGCCAGTCACCTTCATGATTTATTTTCACTGATAAACATACATCTGCCAAGTCTGTTTTTTATTTGTAGCTTTTTTTTAGTATCCATATCAATAATAATTATATTACAACTTTTTTATTGCAACTATTATATTAAATGGGATATCTGTCCCTGGTTACGTTGGCTGTATTGTGTAGTTTAAACATGGCGGTGCGAACTACCGAACGGCTTAGGCTTCGGGGCCGAGGGGTCAGCGACACTACGCAGCGTAACTCACGAGTCTATCAAACAATAAACAGCAACTATGAGAATACTATTCAAATATAAATATAATTAAATTTACATATTTCGAATATACAATTATAGAAAAACACTTTTTGAACTGTTTAATTGTAAATATTATAATTAATTATTCAATTTCATATAGAAATTATTACTTATCAAATGAATAAAATGTTCGCGGAATCAATTGAACGTTTTCGTTCAATCTGCGTCACACGTAACTGAATACCACAAGAGTAAGTGAATAAAAGATTGTGTCGCCATTTCAGTTAATCGGTTTGCACATCCAACGCGAAGGGAAATTATAATATGGTGCACTCGGCCTCGCCCCGCCTCGGTTACAATGTGCCGCCAAACCTCATTCCACCGCTTAGCCGAAGCGATTCCGCAGTTATTTTTACACAAGCCGACCTTTCGCACCGATCGTCACCGCACTCCAGCGTACATAAATCTAAATAGCACTCACTAACAAACGCTTTTAAGATTCACTATACAACGGACACTATATCCGAGAACACGTCGACAAATGCAGCTTCTACAGAGGACGTCGTCATTCCATTACAGTCGATGCATTTTCGAATTTATATTCGTGTTTACATTTTAATATCAGTGAGGACGGCGAACATAGCATATTTAACGTCCGTCCGCCAGGAGCGCCGCGGAGGCAATGAACGCGGCGGGCGAGCGGGGTCCGCGGGGCTGGCGGCGGGGGGAGGGGGGTCGGCCTGTCATGCGTCAGCTGAGCGTCACGCCGCGACATTGCAAGGTCCGCTCGTACCGACTCGCATGACCCACTGCGCCGCACCGGCCGGCTTACCGGTGTACCGCAAACATATATATAAATATGACATATAACATGCAAGGAATTATATTAGAATATTAAAAATATATATATTTTATTTGTCGTTTCGATATATTGTTAAATATCGGCGTTGTGTTGCCGTGTTCTAGTAAAACTCGCTAGACAAGCCGGTTCGCCCTGAGGCGACACGTCATTTTGTTGTGAATGGAGCGCCGCGCATGCTCGCTACGCTTGCTTGACTTGCTGTAGAGTTGTATTCAACTCGTGAGGCCAAATATCACGCGCGTTATAATATTAATTACATTTATTACTAAAATATATATTTATTATTGAAAATGGAACAACAGAGCGGGTTTAATAATAATGTTCTCAATATTCAAATTTATGGAGATATTTTTATTTCATTGATTTTAATTAACGAAGATTATGATAGTATTTTATCAACGTTGTCATGTCTTTAGTATCTTTATTTCAGTTAGTTCTGTTTGACCTCATAAGTGACATTAATAAATATGCTTACATAATATTTTATTTTTGGCTTTTATGTCACATCTAATCGTGATATTTTTTCAAAGTAAAATATTAGAATGTTAGTTATCCCGTATCCGTCATAAAAGGACTTTCATTTTCTCACAATTTCATTTATTACTTTTACAGTTGGTACCAGGATTTTGAAATTTTTGGCAGTTCGAACTTTGGTTCTTTATTATATTATATGCGATCTTTCATTTAAGTTTTTATGAAAATGGAGGTTAACACTCAACATACTGTCTAATATTGTTAGATTAAATATTTACAACGTTTAATATTGTACTGTTTTTGTTTATTATACATACATATATGCCTATCCATTTATAATAGAAGCGTCTTGTCCGTAAGAATTTTTTTGAGTTTCTTATAGATTCATCTTGTTTACCAAGAAGTGACATATTTTTATATGATCATAAAAGTAAATAGATAAAATTTTAATGTTGATCTAGTGCTTGTAATAATATCGTTAATATTATATACGTTCCATCTAACGACCTCTAGGTTTCCGTTTTATCTTAGTATACATAGAGCTCTATGTGCGTTTATACAATACGTAGAGTGAGGTAAGGAGAAAATAATCAATATTGCAGGGTTGTATTCGAATCTCGTGGCGCCTCGTTGGCGCTGCACACTTGTGGCTGAAATTGCGCCGAGCCCTGACACCCCCTCCCTCCTCCCCCCAAAGGGGCCTCGGCTCCCACCCCCCCCCCCGCTCTCACGTCGAGCCCTGAACACCCCTCGCACTAGAAAATTGGGTTAAACAGCACGCGGTTGAATACCGCACCGGAAGAGGGGAATTCGGGGTCCGCGGAACTGCGCTTCCACAATGAATGCGGGACGGAGATGTGACTGAGTATTGATTGTCTTTAACATCGAGACGCAGTTACAGCGGCGCATTACTTACTGCACACGCCCCTAACACAAACTGTGTACCATTTAAAAATAGACGATACAAATAAAGCGCAACGACTATGGAACACGTATTGTAAATATAACAACCGATATTATATGAGATCCGATATGAAATTTGACCAGCAGTGTGACGTGTTTGTATTGTTGAGGACGCTGATATAAATATGAAATGATACGCGATAACGAACGTTGGATGACAAACAAAATATGACTATCAAACTATCGAAGAGAATTCCACAGACTAATAATATTATTAATAAAATTTATTATATTATATACTATGCTAATTTTTGTCCTACACACGTCAGTATACTGCAATAGCTGTGAGGCATACAAGTTAACATGTTTTAATTGTGAACGTAGACATATTATGCAGACACGTACATAAATATTGTTGCCAGCTCGCTAACTTTCCATTCGCTCGGTGCTTGCTATGTGCTAAATATAGACACAATAAGCACATTGCGGTAAGTCATCTAATACTGTGCGCGTTAATTGATATTATAAAATGTATTATAGGAAAGAAATTTTATACAAAATTAATTATTATTATCAGATTATAATTATGGCCTTGATATAAAACGTATGTACCGGTGATGTTAATGTAAATAAGTCATGTGATATTTTAAATGGTTGTTTAGTGTACAGTATGTAAGGAGGTGGGTTGCTTCGGCCGGGAGAGGGGGCAGGAGGCACCGGAGGGAGTACGGAGCGGCAACTTACAATGATAATGATAATATGGACGTTGGTTGATACGTTTTCACCGTTCACTGTGTACTGTGACTGACTGGCTACAGTCCACGACTATACGGCTATACGGCTTGTTTGTAAAACATATAGGAACTATTTGAATGTTGAAATAGACAATGGTTGAGTTTTTTGTTATGTTAGCCAAGAATAAAATAACAGCTAATAGATATTATAAATTAAAGAGTCCTTATATTGGAGTTGTAATTAATTAAAATTTATTGATAGACTTTGGAAAGGAAATATCAAGGTTATACATCTGGTATAGAAATGAAAAATATGTAATATTTAATGTTAGAGTAACACAGACCAATGAAGTGTAGAGCGATCGAAGTCGCAATAAAAGTTTAGTTAATAATATAAAATGAAATAGTATTTTAAGCATGAGAAATCATTAAATAAAGATTGGAGCAATTGGAACCCAGACTGTATACATTTAACCAATTTCAAATAAATTGGTCAATGTAACTAAATTGATTAAAAACACATTTTGAAATGAACAGCTCTAATTAAATAAGTCTTTATTAACAAAACGTATTTACACTATATTTTTAGTACAGTCCTCTTAAGAAATTTTAATAATACATTAAAAATTTAAAGATCCCGTATTAGGCTTACATAAACTATAAAATGGGGAAAGTTAGCTCGTTTACATATAAAATATTATCATAAGAGATGTGTTAAGGCGAAGCTGAGATAAGATAAGATAATTTATAATGAGCTTTGATAATTTTCAACTTTACTCCATAGATTTTAAAGACAAAGATTATATGGTGATTATAGAACATTTTACTACTTAAGTATTTATACGTGATCCTTGTAATACACCGCTCTATGTCATGGTCATTAAAATTTCTTAATATATTTACGTAGAACAAAATATAGTCTTTAAAACAATTGAAGATCGTCTCATCGTTATAAAATAACATTTACTCGAATTACGATCGAGTTGCTATTGTATTCATTAAAGTAGGATAATATGAGAAAATACATCGTGTCAGTAATGTATCATACGGTTATTTTTATTTAGATTAATATTGAAGACAATGGATCATTACGTTTCAATTAACGCGTCTTTGAAACTTTCAGATATAAATTTAAAAATAACATGTTTTAATCGTCTCATATATCTTGAGATCATTGAATCGTATTAAATATGTAGAACTTGAGTTTCTCATTTATTTTTCCTCTTGTTTTTTTTTTATAAAAATAACATCTATAATAAACACAATTTGTTTTTAATTACTATTTCTTTATCTACGTTATACAATTGACTTACAATGTTATTTCTTGTATTTCAATAAGACTAATCTATTTCTGTCTCGTTGTTATTTTAATTAAATCCTGATATTAGTAATTTTATTCTAATATTTTACGATATTATAAAAAGAGGTTTTCATTAATTAATTCGAACATAGTATGTGAAAAATTTTAATCTCTGAAACGAAACGTAATATAACGTTTATGTATATATGTATATGTATAGATTGTATAGCCGGTAGTTTAGTTCCGTTCCTCCCATACATGTATGTACATGTACACATAGAGATATACTTACATAGGATCTCTCCTATCTGTGTTTATGTGCGGCACAGACGCGAACGCCTACGTAACACGTCCAGTAAGCAGTTTGTTGTGGGGCACGAGCGCCGATATCACGTACTCGTTCGCCGCAGGTCGGTGGCACTCCGCCCGCAACCCGCCGTTGCTACCGCACCTCGTTGCGGGAATAATCGGTCAAGTCGATTTCATTCCGACCACTTTGATACCTTTACTCTCATTATAAAGTCTTAGTGTCCGTATCCTAGTTTTATGATACACTCTAATCTATACTAATATTATAAAGCTGAAGAGTTTGTTTGTTTGTTTGTTTGTTTGTTTGTTTGTTTGTTTGAAAGCGCTAATCTCCGAAACTACTGGTTCGAATTGAATAATTCTTTTTGTGTTGGATAGTCCAGTTATCGAGGAAGGCTGTAGGCTATATAACATCACGCTACGACCAATAAGAGCAAAGATATAGTGGTAAATGTGTAAAAAACGGGAGAAATTATTTCATCTTTGAAGCCTTCCGTTGCGTGCGACGTCAAAACGGTTCAAGATACACAAAAAATATGTATTAAAGAATAATAGCTCTTTTAATGATCTAAAAAACAGTCCCCGACAGTATATATCTATCTTTTAAGATTACATCACAAAAATCGTTTTTATGGTACCTAATTTGGTCGAAATAATTTGTTTAAGTTGTATCAACATAGTAATATTAATCTTTATTCAAATAAACAAATAAATATGTTGTTGGTTAAGAGTACTTCATTGTAAATAAAAAAAATATATGTTTTATCCTGAAAATTCTACGGGAACTCGACCAATCCGAAAACCCCGCAAGAACGGGAACTACGTGGGAAGAACCAAAAATCTGCCTGAAGTCACTATTCCACGCGGACGGAGTCGCGGCAAAAGCTAGTCTGTTATAAAGCTCGTTTTATATCTACTATATCAGTGTTGTGCTATTGACGTTCAGTTTGTAATATTCGCGAATTAATCATAACACTGTTGTAACAAGTTGTTGTATAGAAAATCTATACCGCTAATGCGTGGCTTACCTTTGGTAAATGAGCATATAATAATATCTGCATTTATGTATAAGATATCTTTGACATGTTTTATTGGATTAACAATGCTTCTGGCCTTGTATCCTTGTAAAATGGCGCCTCGCCCGACGTTATTATTATTACATTCGAAGCGAACTTCGTGACGGTCTCCATTCTCCATCCCCCCGCTTCGACGCTCCCCGCGGATGCGTATCCGATTGTCGCGAGTCGAGACTGGCGTTTACGACTTGTCAAACAAGTTAGGTTATTGAGAACTATTAGAACTATTATATAGTAAAATTATGAGAAATGGAAGCCATTGTGTTTTTATAACTCGTAAGTAACGCCAATCGTGATATGAAACCGTATGAATCGTGATAAACGTGAAATAAACTGGGCGAGTCATATGTAAAGACGCCATCTTTCTTTACAGATGTCAGCTGGGTCACAAATTCAGATGGCACCACAAACTACTGTCAACACGGGGCAGCCACTTCATAATCAGGACTCCAATATGAGCACAGGTAAAATGTGTAAAAACAATAAAAGTGCAGTTTAATTTTGTGATGTGATAAGTGAAGTTAAGTGTTTACGATAACACGCATACGAATACTAGTGAGGCTAACCTAATTGAACTTTGAGGACTAAACTTCTATGGATAACTACCACCCTAAGAAGGATTGTGACGTAAACTTTTTTAGTATAATGCCGGATAGGGACTGTGAAAGTGTAATATTTTCATCTGTGGTCAGAAACTATTGCGTGAAACAATGCATGACTATAAAAGTGGAACTAACGTGAACCACATCGGTCTCCTCAGCTCTTTATCTAAAAGTGAGTTGATGTTATTTTCCCGGACCCAACTAGTTTCGGGTAGATTGTTTGGTATGACGCCGCACATGAAAAATATTCTGCTTTGTATGGAAAATATATTGTTTTGTGTCAGTAGAAGTGTTAAAAAATGTAGTCAATAAAATTAATATATACCTCTGAGATGTTTGTTAAAAAAATTATTAATCCCTAGGGTCATCGCATAGTGATAAAGAAGTGGATGCATTGACTCCTGAAAAATCTGCGGCTATGAGAGGTTCGAATGCAGTTCCCGGCAGTGCTCTAGTACCACCCAGTGGTGCCACACCAACTATAGCAATGCCAGAGAGGAAACGGAAAAGAAAAGGTATTAACAAGTTTATTCTTGATTATATATAATATTAGATATGTAAACTATTAGAAGTAATGCAATAATTTCATTTTGTTTGATAAAGAAGTTATTGTTTATGGATTTAATATTAATTTACAGGAGAAGAGGGTGTAGGTGGTGGTGGGGGAGGGGGTGGCAAGCAAAGGCACAATTCATCAGATAAAAATATCAGAGAATATTTTGCTAAGCACCCTTCATCCAGTCCCGTCCGCCTAGCTGGAGCCAAGTCACCTTCACCGCAAGGTGCCAATTATCCTATGGTAAGTTTATACTCTCTAAGATATTCATAATAATATTTATTAACAAGACATATATGTTAATGAGATATTTATAATTTTATAGTACCCACCGTCACCTTCATCACTGCTTCCATCAGCAAATGACTTTTTACGTTCCGCCTCACAACAGAGACCTCACACTTCTGTAAAACAGGTATGTTTATTAACATTATTAAAACTATTTAATATTTTGATCTGTATTGTGTTAAAGTATCACAACTTTACAAACAGATTCAGACAGAACTGACATGTGAGAGGATACAAGAGTTAGAAACTCAAGCCTCGTCTGACTTAGAAGTAAGAAATAATAGAATAGAAGATTTAACAAGAAGTAATGAGGAGTTAAAACATCAAGTTCAAGCTCAGAGCAAGGTATGTATTAATACAATGAATATGTGTGAAGACTGGAGTGAGAATAATGACACAAAATGTGATTATAATTGTAAAATAATATTTTAGGTAATAGACCAACATAAGTCACACATAAATAAATGTATAGAAGTGGTTAAGAAATTGTTAAATGAAAAAAGTACTATTGAAAAGAAGGAGGCTCGACAGAGGTGTATGCAAAACAGATTAAGGCTCGGTCAGTTTGTTACACAGCGTGTTGGAGCCACGTTCCAAGAAAACTGGACTGATGGTCATGCATTTCAAGAGCTCACTAGGTAAGTTCAACACTAGCAATATTATAAATAATATAGTATGTACATCAGCGAATACAATCAACTAATATCTGTACATGATCAGGCGGCAGGAGGATATAACGACTGAGAAGGAGGAAATTGATCGCCAAAAGAAGCTGTTGCTGAAGAAGCGGCCGTCGAACAACGAGGGTGGCGGCGGGCGAGGCAAGCGGACGTCGAGCGCCTCAGCGCCCTCCACGCCACAGCCACAGCCGCTACACAACGGCACGGACGCACCGACCTTCCTCAAGCCGGACCCACTACCCAGCATGACCTGGCAGGAGTACTATGAGGCTGATGAAATATTAAAGGTCCATTACCTATCATATACACTCATACTTAGAACGACCGCACTTATATATACAGGATGTTATTATATAAATGCTTCAATAGTGTAGTAACTTTATTGTTTATTTAACTAACATGTTATTAGAGTTTCTTTGGCGTTACTCTTTCATATGTTACTTTTTTCAAAATGTGGGTATTATCTTACAATGTTTACCACTTTCACATTATTAACTGTGGTCAATGATTGCAAAGATTTAATGTCTAATTTCGTATTTTATAACGAAAATTCATGTCTCAGATAGTTTTCATAGAAAAGTTGATAAATCATGTTTTTTCTCGTTCATTATATAATGTACTGGAAAATGGTTTGACAGTTATAACATACTATATTGTTAAAACTGTAATTTTTGATAACCATCATGTATTTTTGTATGTTGATTAACCAATTTTGATGATTTTCCTATTTCATTTCACACTTTTGAAAATTTTTCTGTTTATTTTAAATATGGTGTAGCTAATTTGAATACTACCGTATTAGTACTAGAAAAATTTATATATTTAACTTAATGTTAGTCCTAAATTGACATACAAGTTTCAAGAAATAAAACAAAACTTTGATGAAATGTTCATGACATTTCTTCAAAGTTTTTTTTTTGAGTCTTTTGAAGGTTGCTTATATCATCTTTATTTCTTACAGCTAAGGCAGAGTGCCTTAAAGAAAGAAGATGCAGATCTGCAGCTAGAAATGGAGAAATTGGAAAGGGAAAGAAATCTGCACATCAGGGAATTAAAACGGATACACAATGAGGATCAGAGTCGCTTCTCACAGCATCCAGTACTATCTGATAGGTAAAATATAAATTTAATTAACTAAATAATTATAATAAAAATATGAATTTCTATTACATACGTCAAAATATACAGGGTGACTGGTGAATTACTATCAATATTTAAGGAGCATACTCGGTACATGATTCTCATTCGAATTATGGAAAAAAAATAGGTACTTAATTTTTGACAAAATTTCCGTATAAATAAATAAAGTGGTGACACGTTCCAAGTGTTCCAAGTGTGGACGCGTGCGGCGGCGTGCTGATACAATACTACGCCGCCGCCGCGTCTGTGTGAGTGTGTGTGTATACCTAATCTGTAGGGTGTTGACACGATGCGTAATTAATTACATAACTTTTGGTTAACTTTACTTAGAAGTTTATTAATATTTATGTTATATTAATTTTTATTTTGTCATATATGATCGTCAAATATCACGTCCTCAAATATCGATAGTAATTCACCAGTCACCCTGTATATGCAGATAAGTTATCAAAGTTTTGGTGATACAGGTTAAAACTAGATTTTTTTTGTTTTATGTTTGAATATTAATACTAAACACATTGACTAAATATATAAATAATTAATCTGTTTCTTTAATGCAATATAAAAATTTATTTCCTTTTTACATTAGTTATTTAAATTGTATGTATAGATATATTTATATATGTATTTCAGATATTTGTTACTGATGCTATTGGGCAAGGGTGGGTTCAGTGAGGTTCACAAGGCGTTCGATTTGCGCGAGCAACGATACACAGCCTGCAAGGTTCACCAACTGAATAAGGATTGGAAGGAAGACAAGAAAGCCAACTACATCAAGTGAGTCCGTACAACCACAATAATACTAGGCACATGATTATGGACGTTTCTGTTGCGCTTTGGAATTATTTTCTTATATTAAGTGTACTTTTAATGAAATGCTACTCTCATTTAATCACTTTTTATTTGAGTTGGCGTCACGCTATACGTTTTAAATGTTCTGCTATGAATTCAATTTGATGATTGGAAATTATTCAATTTTATCGCATTGATTACAGACATGCTCTACGGGAATATAATATTCACAAGGCGTTGGATCACCCTCGAATTGTGAAGCTTTATGATGTGTTTGAAATAGATGGCAACTCATTTTGTACAGTTCTCGAGTACTGCAATGGACATGATCTCGATTTCTATCTCAAACAGGTAACTTGAGCTAATTTCTATTATTATTTTTAAACTATGACATAATTAGATTATATTTTCTTATCACTTCACTACTTATTGTTCGATTATAACACGCTATTGATATGAATCCATAATGAAAAATGCTATGTAAAGAAATATTCTTCAATATAACATATTTTTGTAGAGTAAATGAAGGGAAGAGTGCTGTAGTACTTCCAGTTCTTATTATTTATATGTCATTTATTCATATATAATATTTGTTTTCAGCATAAAACAATTCCGGAGCGCGAAGCTAGGTCCATAGTGATGCAAGTGGTTTCAGCATTAAAGTACCTGAATGAGATCAAACCACCCGTCATCCACTATGACTTGAAGCCTGGCAACATACTGCTGACTGAGGGGAATGTCTGCGGTGAGATCAAGATTACAGACTTTGGATTGTCCAAGGTTATGGATGAGGAAAACTACAACCCTGATCACGGCATGGATCTTACCAGCCAGGGTGCTGGCACTTACTGGTATGTTGATTATAAGATGTTATAGAGTAGGTAGAGAGAGGAGCTTGGACAGTGGATGTGACCGTTAGATGGGGGCCCCTTAAACCTACACCTGGGTCGCAAGTCCCAGACACTGTTGAAGCTCCTCTCCCTGCATCGCATTTAACACATGTGCAGTGAATCCATTGAATGCTAAGAAGTTTCGTCTCAATATAGAATGATATTAAATTGTTTTGTTTGCAGTCAATGTTAAGTTCAATAAATATTTTGTTGGATATTTCCAGTAATATAAATATGTTTTTCGTAGGTACTTGCCACCAGAGTGCTTTGTAGTAGGCAAGAACCCACCAAAGATCAGTAGCAAGGTGGACGTGTGGAGCGTCGGTGTCATCTTCTACCAGTGTCTGTACGGCAAGAAGCCGTTTGGACACAATCAGAGTCAAGCTACTATACTAGAAGAAAACACCATTCTTAAAGCCACCGAGGTTCAGTTTGCTAATAAACCCACTGTCAGTAATGAGGCTAAGGTAAGTCGATTTAAAATGTTATTGTTGACATATCTGCATAACATTATATGCTCAGGAAAATTACACATTATTTAAATTGTGAAGTAGCTCCTATAAGATTCTTTTAATATGTTCAACTCGTACAGTTTTAGAATTATTACCAGTTGTTTAAAAGTAAACATACTGAAAAATCAAAGCTGAAATCCGTGTGTTTATGATACACGGTTTGAGATCAAGATGTTTGTCTAGTAAATATTTAATATTAGTGTTACATTTAGAATTCTTTGTGTATTAACGTGTACTGCACTTGGGCTGTGATATCAGACTACAAAATTATACTGAACACTATCACAGATATTCTACCTCCATCCATAGTAATGAATGCTTTGGTTTTTAGGGATCCTCATTTGTACCAAATTTCATAAAAATTTAATCAACTTTATTTAAATTCACATGGACGTCGAAGTTAAATTATGATTGTTATTATTATACGTTCAAATAATGTATCTTAACAAAATTCCGTAGAGCTTCATCCGCGCGTGCCTCGCCTACCACAAGGAGGTGCGTATCGACGTGTTCGGTCTGGCCAAGCACGAGTACCTCCAGCCGCCGATGCCGAAGCCCCGCGGCGCGGCGGGCGGCGGCGCTGGGTCGGCGGCGGGTGGCGGCGCGGCGGGCGGCGCGGGCGGGGCCGGGCGCTGGCGGGGCGGCGGGTGCGGCGCCGGCGGCCTTCAGCGCGGGCCTGTTCGCGGCGGGGTCGTCGTCCTAGCCGCGCCGAGCGCGCCCGCGCCGCCCGCGCCCGCGCCGCCCGCGCCCGCCGCGCCCCTGACGCCGAGGCGCGCCCCCGCCGCCCCACAGTGAAATGACTATATCATTTACGGATTAAATTGTTTAAGATTATGCTTACTGTTGACTGTATTTATTGAGCGGGTGATAAAATGTGATTCGCCATTCATGAATGGTTTCATCCTTTTGTCACTAGAGAGGAATCCTTGGGACTATCCCTTGCATATTATATAAGTTATCCCTATTAAAAAAGTTAAAAATTATACTATAGCGTTATCTTTTATTTGATCCCATTTTCTTATTAACATTTAGTTTATTGAACGATTGTGTAAACCAAAATTATCGCAGTACATACTAGGTTCCAAAATTGTGCCAAGAATTATAAAATAAAGTAGTATAAAAAGGGATATGTATTAAAGATCTTTGAGCTTCGGCTTAAGAAGTAAATATTTAAATTTTTTAGTAAGATAACCCATTTCTTTTGAGTTAAAACACCTTGAGTTAAAACATGTTGCCTTGTTAACAATGCAAAAAAATCTTTATAAAAGAAACCGATATCTTTCGTCAGAGAGTGCCAGTAAAACAAACCTTTACTCATCAATCTTCTTCATGTTTTTTCCATTCTACATAATATAGGCCCAATATAATACTGAAGGTCCTAAATAAAGCAAATGATTGAAATTGAAAACTTCTTTTCTAAATTAGTGAATCAAAGTTTAATATGAACTTTAAGATGGGTGAAGATGTGTAGTAACAGCAATATAATTATTCTATATTTATTTCCTCATTGTCTTTTGTACAATATCCATAATATTGTATTCCATATGGAGAAAAACTTCCCAATAAAGTTATTGGAATCTAGGTAGATTGTGAGAACCCATCCTTTTTTAAGGTTTCGGATTTGCAGTATTTCTGGTCAATATTGGTCAATAATAAGAATTTTTGTATTATTTATATAATTATGCAGAAATAATTAGTATTTCGGCTGAATTGACGCACTAATTATAAGTCTAAATCAAGCCTCCTTAACCTTTTCTTATAAATTACAGAAAGTGTTTCATGACATCGGGAGCCACAAACTTAAATTATTTAGGTTTAAATAGAAAAACCAAATATGACGTTTAACTTTTTTCGTCTATAAACAAAAATAGGTTTTAAACGGAGATGAGGCAGTTAATGTATATAATAAAAACCAAAGGTGTTACCTTTTGATGAGATTAAGGAAACTAATATTTTTCTAAACTTACAAGATATATGGCTTGTGATTGTTTAATATATAATTTTTGCGAATAGTTTTTGTGTAGTTAGTTTTAGAAAAATGTATTTCGCTCATGCAACTAGAACCAAACAGTATCAATATGGCAATACTTTCAACGTTTTCTTATTTTATAAGACCCGTAAAAACATACACAAAAAAGATAATTAAGTAATGTTTCCGAATTCCATATCGCATGTTTTCCCTGTTTCATTTGAACAAATATTGGAATGGAATAGCTCTTGATTAATTAAATATCAAAAGTGTAGTGTTCTCGTAGATAACATGTTTTAGTCTTAAATATTCACACTCTTTTTGAAATTCACGTAATAGTGTAGAGACTGTATTTATATATATCGGCGCTACCAGCTTTAATAACGGATGCGACTTGAAAATAATTAGAGGCTGCCATCAATTCTTCTACTTCGCGCTGCGCTGCCCCAGTGTTGAATTCAAAGCCAATTAAGCATGGACCGAACGATGCGTGAATATCTGTTCCGTCCAGATATGGTTCAGCTCTGGAGTGAAACCGGTGAGAGGTTTTCATGTTGCTTCGACTCGGGTACCGAATGTTCTTTAATGAAATAAAAAAAAAAAAAAATTCTTGAAAGATAGATTTCTAAGTAAAGCGCAATATAATAATACAATTGCATTAGAAAGTGTAAGTAATGCTCGCATTAAATGTTATATCTAAATTCTTTAAACAATTTAAGAGTGATTCAGTAAAGTGAGTTTTCCATGTTGTGAATTCATGTATTTTCAACGACGTTATGATTAGACAGGATCTGCTTACATTAGGGTATTCTATAGGGATTAAAAATAATGTCTCATTCTTAAAACAAACAAGATTGGAACTGAAAAATCATTTGAATAATGTCATAGAGAGAATTAAATAAGAATACGGTGTCTGATAGATATCCTTTGCCACTTATTTCGAATCAAAAATGCTTTCATTTCGCCGCGACAACAGACCATTGGTTGAAGGCTAAACAAGAAATAGATAACGAAATTAATTTTATTATCACGAAACTAGAGGCAAACTATTTTAATAGTGATATCTTTAAAACTTACGAGATAAGACGCGCTCTTCTTTTTCGGAAATAATGAGAGCTCTATGTTGCCTTTAGTGTGTAGGGAATTTCCGTGAGCTGATCTCGTGTCCATGGTGTATTCTCAAGAGAATCTGTACCATGAGATTCTGTAGGGAAGCCTTGTGGAGCCGTGAGGAGACAAGTATTACACCATAGATCTGGAGAGCGTGACCTCTGAGCTAATCACGAGTTAACCTTGAGCTAACCACGGGTCCTTGATGTATCCGAAAGAGAACCATGAGATTACGTAGGGATGCCTTGTGGAACCGTGAGAAGACAAGTCTACGCCACAGATGTGGAGAGCGTACCTCTGAGCTACTCACGTATTACCCTTGAGCTAACCACAGATCCTTGCTGTATCCTTGAGAATACCATGAGATGACGAAGAGCGGCCTTGGGAAACTATGAGTAAATATGAAGTTACATGATTTTGATATCAAACAGCCGGCGCCACGGCTTTATTTAGAATCGACTGTAGACACACCCTTCACAGTAATATGAACAATATGTCGGTCAACACACACATCAGTGCCACTAAAAAACGATGTTATAATTCAAATGATAGCATAATTGACTCCAAATTTCTAATCAAATACACCTATTGCGAGTACAACTAAGTTTTGTTCCATTTCTACTAACCGTGGTCAAACGTTTGAATCATGTTGTCGACGGGAAAAGGATATCACGCCGAATTTAAATTTAATATCAACTGGTAAATTTAATCTTAATACAATGCATGATTTCAGGGGTGCGTTATACAAGAATCAATGGCAAATAACATCTCCGGGAATAGAAAACAAATCAGTCAACTATTTGCGAGGATTGAGGCCGGGCTCTATTATTAATATAAATAGTTTTTTTGTGATTACAGGCTTTAGCGTACATCTGACAAATTTAGTATCCTTGCCGATGTTATGAACATACGAATTCAATCCGGCTTTAACAGTTTAGATTACAATTTGACAATCCGTCCGTGGATATCGAAGCAACACATTTAAAACAGGATGGTCGAGGCGGAGAGAAGATAAAAAGTTGGATTTTAGAGATTTCGAACTAAAATTTAAATAATTTCAGAATGGAGATTTAATATAAAAAAAAATATCACAGAAAAAGTAATAGAAACCGAGGAACACTTTGAAATGTGATTCGTGACCAGCCAGACGAAGTTCCACTGGAGTGACGAGAGAGTATAAGTAAACGAGCAGCAAGGTAGACTGTTCGACTACCTAATAGTTATCCGGTGAGCGTATTTCATTTTGTTCAATTTACTTCATTTCAAACGCATTACATATTTCGTAGATAGAAGTGTGATTTTGAAACACTTACTTTGAGATATATTACTATAAAATTATTAAATTATTATTATTACTATAAAAGATGCCTTTGATGGCGGATCCGAACCATAACAAAATAATAATAATAATAAAATGGTTAATAAAATAAAATTGTTGTAGACGGGTGGAGACGTCTTACGACAAATAAATAAAAACAAAATGTTGTAGGCGGGCGGAGACGTCCTATGACAAATAAATAAAAAAAAAATGTTGTAGGCGGGCGGAGACGTCCTATGACAAATATGTTATGAATGTTCGTGTGATGCCCCCAAAGCCATGTAGCTTAGATAATTGGACGTGATATTATGATCATCTCAAAGTTGTGTTGTAGTAAACAACGTTACCCATACGATCAAAAAAAAAAAATTTTGATATTCATAATTGTAACAATATAAAGTTATCTAGGGTTACTGTGGAAGTACCTAGACTACAAAAGCATTTATCTTTTATCACAGAGCAAACATCAGTATGACCGTATCGGCATGACTTCGGAAGATGAAGCATCAATTCTTGATCCTGTCCCATCTACTTTACGAGACGCGCGACTGGTCCAAGCACATAACGAAAACCAACCAAGAAAGAACACATAACCAGGCAGGTGCAGAGCACGCACCGCCTGTCAGAATGGCCGTATCGGCGCTACCAGCTTTAATAACGGATGCGACTTGAAAATAATTAGAGGCTGCCATCAATTCTTATTAAACCTCATTAGTATTTATGATTATTGTTAAAAGTAAAACGAAATCAAAAGAGAATAGAATTACGTTTGAATCAAAAATATGACGTCTGGACTCACGACGGCGGACTCCAAAATTGAGAATTCAGCATTGATAATTGAGAGTTCAGTGAGCGTGTATCATAGAAGCATGTTATTATGAAGAATCTTTGAGAAATACAAGAGTATTAAGATCAATTGCAGTTTCATTTTAAAATATCATCGAATGCTCTAGAAGAAGTGACATTTGTAACGACAGCGAGGCTGGCGTCCCTCTCTTTAAAATCAACGAATTTGTAATAAATCCGATATATACATAATTTGAGATTAAAGAGCAGATACATTCTAGGCAAATTGTTCAACTTATTTTGTATTTCTTTAAGAAATATCTCTAGCTTTTCCTGAAATAAAAATATTTTGTTATACTCGTTTTTAAAATTACGTTATTTATACCTTCTAAGTAAATTTCGATTAAGAGTATTGAGTATTTTGGTATAATATAAAAATTTAAAACATCATAATCCATAACTTCTCGATTTGAACTTGATTTTTAGTTCTAAAAACAGAATTATTTCAGGCAAAAAAAAAACTTTTTTTACGAAGCCCTCGCCCAACGTGTTATGTACATAATATGTTATGTATTTTTATACTGACTTCAGAGTTCTTTCGATAGGGTTTTA